ATATACTTTATTTCTTATAAAATGAGTCAAGGCTTGCTGGCCAGCTGCTTAGACTTGCTGAATGCCAAGATGTGTACCAGTGGATAAAGAGCAGTTAAGGCTGTATCTGTTTCTCTTTGTGACTGTATGATCTTTACATAGTAACTGTATGATTTCATCTTCATAAGTGTTAGAATTAAACAACCCACCCCTGAAGTTGCTTTCAAGCATTTCCCCCAGTAAATGTTGATGGGAAGTGTGAATGCTGGGATAAGGGGCTGTGTTGGTGGGGCAGGCAAAGCCCTGGGGGGCTGGCAGTGGCACAACGGAGGGGGTAGGGTGGGGAAGCAGTAAGCTCTGCTGCCTAAAGAAAATGGCTTCACCTTGCTCAATAGACAGGCCATCCCTGGGTGTCCCATTCATCTCATCCTCTGGAAAATACTAGAACTACAGTCATACCTCGGGTTACAGACGCTTCAGGTCATGCGTTTTTGGGTTGCGCACCGTGCAGAACCTGGAAGTACCGGAACTGGTTACTTCCGGTTTCAGCACTCGCACATGTGCAGAAACTCGAAATTGTGCTTTGCGCATGTGCAGAAGCGCCGAATCACAACCCACATGTGCGCAGTTGCGGCGCTGTGGGTTGCAAACATGCCTCCCGCACGGATCACGTTCGCAACCCGAGTGTCCACTGTATTCTAAAAGTATTTCAAATGTTCAACTTAAAATTTCTTTTGATGATGACTTCATGAGGGCATGTGGTTACATCAGCAGTTTTTGGCAAGCTACATTGGGTGATGACCCACTTCTCAGTTAGTTCATATGTAGCAGCTGCTCTTGAACTAGTTCTGAGGAAGAGAGCAAGATTCCAGAGTCCAGACAGTTGTACCTAGTTCTTGAGCTCTTGGAAAGTTTTCAATAACTTGGCTGACTAGGGTGCAATCTACACTCATATAAATCCCTTCTGAAAATGCTTTAAAAAGAAAAGAAGATGCATTTTTAAAAATACATTGAATTTTCCATAAGTCTCATCATCTCCATCTAGTGTCACATTGTATATTGCACTTAAAACACACTTAAAATGTTTTAATTGCAGCTTTATAGCTGAGTCCTAGTACTCTGGTAAGAGAATTTTGGTTAGATGTCTATTGCTGTTTGTAACAAAGACCTGCAGGATTACATTATGCAAAAGAATATCCTCTCTTAATAGTCAGAAATCCATATCCTTTTTTATGTGTCTGTCTCAGTTGCTGATATTTCCGTAGTGAAATAATCATAGCTACCAGCATATTTTGCTAACTAAGGGCAACAAGAGATGTGATTGAGTGAGAGGGTGCAAACTGATAACCTGAGCAATCTTTATTTATAAACCCACAGCTCAGTCTTATGCAAGTAAATCCCACAGAGAGTTTGTACCCAAATAAATGTGGATAGGATTGCAACCTAAAGAAGTACACACACATATACAATAGTCTGTGCTGCTCCGGCTTCAGATATGTTTTGCCCTTTTAAACTCCTTCCCAATTCATCCTCTTTAGATCCATTTTCTTTTGTCATGTCACCCTTGAATGGTAACATGAAGCAAGTGCAAGAAGCAGAATGAAAGAACTGGGCATCCCTGCACAGATTTGCTGAGAGCCGGAGGGCCCTGCTCCTGCCTCTACCCATCTGGCCCAGGGCGGGGCCTGACAGGTTTTATAAGGACTGCTGCTGCTGCTGCCCAGCAGAGAGGGCTTCTTCTTTTAAATTGTTTTTTATATCCTTAAAATTTTTTGGGTGTGTGTGTGTTTTAACTGTCTTTAACTGAGTTGTAAGAGTATTTTGTGGGATGTGCCTGGGAGGTGAGGAGCGGGGGAGACCCAGTTACAGTGGTTCTGGATAAAGGGACATATGGCATGGGAGGAGGGGCAGGCTGGGTAAGCGGCACACGGCATAGGCAGTTGGTGACTGTGCCGTGTGCCAGCCCCTCATCCAACCTGGGAAACTGTGGTTGTCATATCAGCCAGCCCTCGGGTCTGTGACTGCTGCTGTTGAATGCCAGGTTGGTCCATAATAAAATCTCCCTCATCCATGATCTGGCTGATCTGGCATGTATTACTGAAACCTGGGTGGGTGAACAGTGGGGTGGAGTTGTGCTCACCTGGGTACTCAGTGCAGCATCAGGCCAGACTTAAGGGTTGGGGAGGGGGTGTTGCTGTGGTCTATAGAGATTCTCTCTATCTCCAGGCTCTCTGTCCAGTTGTGGGAGAGAATCTAGAGTATGCGTTCCTGGCATTGGGCGATCAGGACAGATTAGGGATTCTAAAAGTTGGAAGGAAAGCTTCAGGATGGAAAGGCAGAACAGTGGTTGATTTCTGTTTGAATCAAAGGCTGTGGCCATGGGGGAACAAAGACCCTTTTGGGGTTGTTCTCCTGTGAACTCTTCCATTGCAGACTCAGGTTGTGTGTGTGTGTGTGTGTGTGTGTATACTATAAAGGTAAAGGGACCCCTGACCATTAGGTCCAGTCGTGGCCGACTCTGGGGTTGCGGTGCTCATCTCACTTTACTGGCCAAGGGAGCTGACGTTTGTCCACAGACAGTTTTTCTGGGTCATATGGCCAGCATGACTAAGCCGCTTCTGGCAAACCAGAGCAGCGCACAGAAACACCATTTACCTTCCCGTCGGAGCGGTACCTATTTATCTACTTGCACTTTGACGTGCTTTCAAACTGCTAGGTTGGCAGGAGCAGGGACCGAGCAACGGGAGCTCACCCCGTCACAGGGATTCGAACCGCCAACCTTCTGATCGGCAAGCCCTAGGCTCAGTGGTTTAGACTACAGCGCCACCCGCGTCCCAATATATACCATATATCATAAATAAACCACAGTCTCTGCTGTGCCTCATTTCCAAAAGGAAACACTAACCCTGATCAAGTGCCAGGGACACCTGGAATCTCATATCACTCAGAGATTAGAGTGGCATACACCTGTATTAATCTCTTTCTCTTAATACCAGATACTGGGAACAAATCACTGGAGAATACTATACTGTTGTTGTCTGAGAAACATTCAGCTCATCACTGTTCATAGCTGTCAACTTTTCCCTTTTCTTGCAAGGAATCCTATTCGGAATAAGGGAATTTCCCTTAAAAAAAGGGAAACGTTGGCAGCTATGTCACTGTTAGAAATGGAATGCTGGACAGGATGGGAGGAACTTGCTTACTTACGACCAAAAGTACAGTATTGGGCAGAGGTGCGTGATGAACCTCAGAACACCAAACCAATTCTTCAACCCATGTATTTACTCTTGCAAATTACCCATTTCACCAAAACCCCTTTAAATCACAGAACCGGCCTTTAAAATGTATTCAGATCTTGACTCACCTGCCTCTCATTTAATATATTGTTCTACATCCATTACTCAGGTCTCATCAAATGATGTTTCTTCAATTAACCCCCCACAGTGCTGATTTTCACCTGCCCAGTCCAGCCCCAAAAGAAAGCAAATAGATCTCTGTCTTTGCTTTTGCTTTCCTGCCCAGCTACTGCAGGCCAACCCAAAGAAAGGGCACCCAAGGAAAGCAGGTGCCTTCCTGAAACCTTCAAAGGCAGTGCAGAATCCTGGAACCTTAAATGTGCTCAATTCCATTTCACTGGAGCCATCTCTGTTGGAGCCTTGTTGATGTGAAACCAAATTTAAAAAACAACACACACACAGTTGGAAGCACATGTGTTTGTTGCTTTTAAGTTTGCTTTTGAGTTTTTGCCCTCTTCAAGAATGGCAAGCATCAGCAGCAAGCATGTAAAAGGATGAGCAGCTGCTGTAAAATTGAGGCAGACACTGCAAAAGAAAATGAGAAAATAACATCTTGGTCATTTAATCTGCTATTGATATGCTTCTCTGTGAATGGACAACACAAAGGAGGCAGAAATTTTCATTTGCTAGGGCAGGAAAAAAAAAGCTTGGTTCATCTCTAAATAAACTTGCAATTTGACTTGGGAATAACAGCCTGAATGTGAGGATTCCACTAGAGTATGCCTTTTCTGTGGTGGCTCCCTGCTTGTGGAATGCTCTCCCCAGGGAGGTTTGCCTGGCACCTTCACTGCATATATTTAAGTACCAGGCAAAATCATTCCTCTTCTTGTGGCCTTTGGCTGATTGAACAATCCATGGCCTCTTAAATTGTGTGTGTGTGTGTTACTGTTATGTTGGTTATGCTATGTTTTTATATTGCAAACCGCCCTGTGATGAAGGGTGGTGTGGAAATTTAAGAAATAATAAGCAATACTTGGAAGTGATCTATAGTTGCACCATCGGGATGCACTAGAATACCTGACTCTTTACCTGAGACTGCATTCCTCAACACCTGTGGGAAGGAGCCTAAGCGTGGGCGGAATTCAAGGAACACATTATTCCTTCCAGGTAAACACGCACATCTTTGCTCTGACAGTCTCACTGAAATCAGCAGCAGGAATGACGCTGCTGCTCCACTTGCATCCACTGACCTGGGAGTATAAGGCAGCCCCACCAAATTCACGGGGGCTTACTTCTGAGTAGACCGCTGCATAGGCTAGCACTGCTAACCTCTCACGAACACCAACCGGGTTATGGCTGCTTTAAAGCTTTGGAAACAAGGGGAATCGTTCCCGGCCGATGAGTTAAAGCAAACACAGCGAGCAAGAAAAAAACACAACCCTTGCCCTGGCAAGAAAAATGAGTGGGGGAGAAGGAAGTTTTTTCCTTCCCCCATCCAGCTATTACAGCTCCATTAGTCATTTCTTATTTCCCAGTTCGCCAAAAGTGGCGCTCGAGTTCCATTTAAAGGGGGGCGAGTGGGAAGTTCCGCTCTCTCCCGCCGCGGGTTCCGAAATGTAAAGGGGATGGGACAGAAACGGGATGGCAGCAACTTCCCCTGAAGTTGAAAGGGAGTTGGGAGGAGTTTTTTGGGGGGGGGCGTTGAGAGAGCTCGGAGCCGCCGCGTCTCCACAGCAACGGCTGCAGATTGATTCTCCATCAAGATGTCAGCGCGCGTCTTGTTGGCGAGGAGATAATTGCAAGGTAGCCGCTTTCCACGCGCGCTCTTTCGGCTGGGGTACACTGAGTTATTTGCCCCCAAAATAAAAGGAGAGGAGATCGATGTGTTCCGCAGTGCCTGATCTGGTAGGAGAGAGCGAGCGACTCCCTTCCCCCACCCATCCCTTTGTAGGTAGAAGCTTCTTGTGGCGGGAGGCGGGAGCGACGCGCACGTTGGCTTCGCCGTCAAAACAAAACGCAGGGGCAGCTTCTCCTTTGTGCGCTCCGAGCCAAGGCAGGTTTCCTCGGAAGGAAGAGGGAATTACTCTGGAGTAAATGTGCGCAAGATCCCGATCCCACTGTCCCTTACACGGAAGTAATGCCCTCTTTGCTGGGAAGGAATCCCGCCTCCTCCCTTTCGAAGTGGGTTTAAGATTCCAGCCTTAAACGCGGCAACGAGGAATTTGTAGGTGGGTTTATTTATTCAAAGCGTCTTCGAGAAGTGTCCGCCTTCGCCTCCGACAAGCACGCCTCCGGTTCTCAGTCTCTATTTTTCTTCTTCCCTAGGGAGCTACTGAATCCCGAAACCCCAGAGTGGGTGGGGACCGCGGAGAGATGATTTTCTCCCCCCCCCCTTTTTTTTTTTGCTAAATGACTTTAATTAGAGAGCATAACCGGCTGCGCCCAGACTGCAGACTTTTCAGTGAGTAAAGGCGCCTGGCGGGCTCCCTCCCGCCTTCACTTTTATTTATTAAAAAAGAAAGAAATTCTTTTCTCAATCGCCTGAGAATTCGCTGGGCTGGCTGGTGATTTGGTGAATGAAAAGTGGAACGTTTTATTGTTAACTAATGAATCGCCTAGAGGGGGATCTCACTGCTCGGGAGAGGCTGATAATTGGAGGGTTTTATCCCCTAGCAGAACCATATACATCTATATTTATTTGTTTAATTAATTAATTAAAAAAACAAAAAACAAAACTCTTCTCCTTTTGCAGTAAGTAAGATCAATGATAGATCTTCTCCTGGTCCTTTTCATCTCTCCCTTTGCTTGTTGAGAACTCCCCACCGTTTGCAAGAGTTGCATCTTTGCTTGAGGCTGAAAGACATGCAAATCTTTTTTATGCAGATTCTGTGGCTGTTACAGTTTCAACAGGCTTAGAAGGGGAAGAGTATCACAACACAGAGTGGTTACCCACCGCGCCCCGGCGCAACTCTCTAAATGACTAAACTTGTGCTGAAGTTTCAGCTTCTCTCCCATGGCTTTTTGTTTGTTAGCAACAAGTGTGGGTCGTATTTATAGACAGCTCTGCTATTTTGTGGTGTGGAAGGTTTCAATTTTGTTCAGCCGGTAGCGAGTCACATTCCCCGGCACGGCACCTCTCTAGGGCTTACATTGTGTGTACATGAATAGCAACAGGTTATGTAATGGGGAAGGCAGTGCAGAGTTGAGCTGTAGCATTTTGGCATAAATCCAAGTAGAAACCCTTTGTGCTCTTTGCTATAGGTTTCTGTGCAAAACTGAGACACACCTTTGCCTTCTGGGAAGTGTTTGTGCGTGCTGTTTTTGGGGGTCACCACCTGTGCACCTTGATTGAAGCCAACTGCGTGGCCTGCAAACCCAGATTTCTTTATTGGTTATCACTTATAGCCATGTCAGTTGGGAGAAGGGGACACATGGGTTCAAAACTCCTGATATGCTTTTGCAAGTTGAAACAGGTGGAATGACTGTCAAAGATGGGTACACCAAATTTGGTGCAAGTGAAGAACCCCAAAGTGGCTGGAGTTGTCAGATGGCATCATTAGACAATAGGACTGCCAACCAAGTGGTGTGTATGTGTGTGTGTGTGGAAGTAGACAATAGGACTGCCAACCAAGTGGTGTGTATGTGTGTGTGTGGAAGTAGACAATAGGACTGCCAACCAAGTGGTGTGTATGTGTGTGTGTGTGTAGAAGTAGCCTGATCTGTCTTTTAACAGCAGCTTGATGTGTAGGAATGAGAAAACAGGTTTTTGCAGCATGGAGTTGTTGGTTGCTGGTTGTTGTTGTTGTTACCGGTATTTATTGAATCTATATACCACCCTATACCTGGAGATCTCAGGGCAGTTCACAGAATAAAATCAAAATATAAAACCACAAAATACATAATCAAAATAAAAACAACAACCTAATAACCCCCACGCCCCCAAAAAACACATTTTAAAAGGGCATAGGATCCTCACAACATTTAAAGTAAGACAATTAACAAATGTGGACAGGAGCCACTCGCTGGAAAGACCATGATGTCAGAAATGTCTGTGGCAATATTTGTTGGCAACCGAATTGGCTGGGTGCCTTTCTGATATAAAGACATAAATAAGAGTGGGAGGGAGGAAAATTAGCTTTGGTTGCTGAGCAGAGTTGGGCGTAATTGCCTTCTAAGGTGTTGCATGTCAAAGGCACAACAACAGTGGCCAGCTGAAAACTTGACACACCTTTTGGTTCTCTGGTATAACTGTTGCACTGCATTGTGGGTGGAAGGTGCGTAAACCACCCACCTCCACACCCAGTGATTGTTTGTTGGTGGGTGTGTATTGTGGGAATCTGATGTACAGTGGTACCTCAGGTTAAGTACTTAATTTGTTTCGGAGGTCCGTTCTTAACCTGAAACTGTTCTTAACCTGAAGCACCACTTTAGCTAATGGGGCCTCCTGCTGCTGCTGCGCCGCCAGAGCACAATTTCTGTTCTCATCCTGAAGCAAAGTTCTTAACCCGAGGTACTATATCTGGGTTAGCGGAGTCTGTAACCTGAAGCGTATATAACCTGAAGCGTATGTAACCCGAGGTACCACTGTATTGGGAAAGTGCATAATCAGGCTGAGAAGGCCTGTTTTGGCCCACAAACCCATTTTCCCCAAGCCATTTTCCTGTGCCCTATACCTGATGTTGTATAAGATGTCAGATGTGAGGGCAGATAAAGATACCATCTCTGCTGTTAACTGATAATCAGCACCTGCAACGCTTTGCCTTTGTGGTTTGCTTTCATACCACACAGGCAAAGGGAAATGCTTCAACTGATGTCATGGTCAACATGTGGCCCACTGGCTGGATCCAGTTTCTTATCCTTGTTCCACATCCACCAGCAGTGTGGTGATGAGGACCTTGGCAATATATTTTGGGATGTTCTTGGTAGATTGAGCCCTCTTACTAATGTGCCCTTGATGGGTGTCAGAATGAGGACTGAACAAGCAGATGAGAGATCTGTAATTTGGACAAACTGCTGTTGCTTTGATAAAATAGGCTATCAAATCAAAAAAGGTCAACCCACCACATAACTGTTGAATGAAATTGTCCTATGAATCAAGTAAAACATTCACCCCTTATTGAAGATTTTTTTAAAAAAATGATTGAGTGACTAAATCAATTGATTATGATGTTGCAAATCAGCATATTACCAAACCATTAACTTTTTCAGTAATAGTTGTGTAGAATGAAGCACCGTATCTGGTTGAACTGCACATGAGCTGACCCATTTCTCTATTTTGTTACTTAGCTAGCACTTTGCAACAAATATTTCCAGCATGCTAGTTGCTTAACGTTTCAGGGGCAACGAAGCGAGATCTGTGTTGCCTACATTTTGGCAGCTTCTTCAACATTCTGATGTCACAGGCTGACCTAGTCCTGCTTGGGAATGTAAAAATGTTGTCAATCAACAACTTAACACACAATTTCTTAGTAATCAGAGTTTTAATCACATTGTTTAAAGATTGCCATCTTAAAGTTAATTCTGAGGAATGGCAGTGGGCATATCTACTTTCTACTAGGGCTGCCATAGTAGGGCGATTATTACTATTTTTTAATGCTTTAAAAATCCCCCCCAAAAGCTCAACAACTTTGTCTGGTTTTTTGTTGTTGTTGTTGTTTAGTCGTTTAGTCGTGTCCGACTCTTCGTGACCCCATGGACCAGAGCACGCCAGGCACTCCTGTCTTCCACTGCCTCCTGCAGTTTGGTCAAACTCATGCTGGTAGCTTCGAGAACACTAACCAACCATCTCGTCTTCTGTCGTCCCCTTCTCCTTGTGCCCTCCATGTTTCCCAACATCAGGGTCTTTTCCAGGGAGTCTTCTCTTCTCATGAGGTGGCCAAAGTATTGGATTTTTACTTTTGGGAATATGGCAACCCTATTTCTACTTCCCCCAATTGTGTCACCAAAATTGGTTGAGGTTCCAGAACATGCATCTTTACTTGGAAATGTAGTATTTAATTATCAAATGTATTGTTGATTTGTGAACATTTGACTGCATTTTAAAGACTTGCAGTCACCTTTAAAAACTATTTTAAAGAGATGTGTAAACAAGGTGATTGGATGGTTTCAAATACTGAAGTTAGGCTGACCTAGTCTTGCTTGGGAACGTAAAAATGTAGGGATTGTGGCAAACTTTATAAAAAGCTGGTGCGGAAGTAAACTAACCCTAGCCTGGAGAAGCTGAGCCAACTATGAGCTGATCCAAATTTTGTATGTGACTGGGTCTGACTGTTCCAGCACTGCCATTATTTGTTTCCATATTCCTTTCTATCCAGATAAAATTAGGAAAAGGGGGGGAAGGCCTAGGTGAAGACAGGGGTGGTAGAACTGTAGAGTGGGATGGCGCTGTGTGTTAAACCACAGAGCCTAGGACTTGCCAATCAGAAGGTCGGCGGTTTGAATCCCCACGATGGGGTGACCTCCCGTTGCTCGTTCCCTGCTCCTGCCAACCTAGCAGTTCAAAAGCATGGCAAAGTGCAAGTAGATAAATAGGTACCGCTCTGGCGGGAAGGTAAACAGCATTTCCGTGCGCTGCTCTGGTTCTCCAGAAGTGGCTTAGTCATGCTGGCCACATGACCTGGAAGCTGTACGCCGGCTCCCTCGGCCAATAAAGCAAGATGAGCGCCGCAACCCCAGAGTCGGTCATGACTGGACCTAATGGTCAGGGGTCCCTTTACCTTTAATCTTTGACAGATGACCATTCAATCTCTGTTTAAAAACCTCCAACGAAGGTGTGTCAGAAAGTTCTTCCTTACGTTTAGTCCGAATCTCCTTTCCTGTGATATTATTCCGTTGATACCATTTATCCTGGAGCAGCAGGAAACACACTTTCTCCATCTGACAACCCTTCAGATATTTGAAGATGGTAGAGGTTGACAGAACACGCCTTTTCTAGCTTCCGTTGAACTTGCCAGATCCTTTTGAGGATTCTCCAAAGAGTTTGGAAAGACTGAGCCTATTCTACATCAAGACTGGATAGGCATTTTGTTCAAGAAGAAGTTAAAAGTTACCTCAGAATGGTTCTGACAGTGACAGAATTGTGACTAACAAGCTGGTCAGCTGAGCCTAGGATGCCGCTGTAGTGCAAGATATTTTGTGCATAATTTTCTCATTAGCTCTGTGCAGTCTGCTGTACATAGCTTCTGCCATTTCAAGACAGAGGAAATGTGACCTAATTAAATTTAGTATTATGGGGCTGGGGAAAGTATTTATCCACTTTCCTATGCTGACTAATACAAAGGAGAGCTCTAGGGGACTGTTACTGGCATCAGTAGCCTGATCTCATGCAGACTTAGCCACTGAAAACAATGATCTTGGGCATGCCTAACAGTGTAGTCATATGCATGTATACTTGCGAGTAAACCACAGTGAGTTCAGTTGGGCTTATTCGCAGGTAGCTGTGTGTAATATGGCAGCCAGTTTACAAAACATCCAACTGACCAGTAAACCAGTCAAACAATCTTAGGTTTCGGGATACTGTACGCTGAATACAGTTCAGATGCAAGATATGTGCTCTTGCTACACTGTAGTGACTCTTTGATCTTGTGTAAACTTTTTCCTAGTACCAACAGCTGCAGATAAAAGTTCTGCATTCCCCCTGCTGTCACCTGCTAGAAAAGTGTTGAATTTACTAGCAAAGGGAAGATGTGCTCCTAACTATTTTGAGATTGGTCCTGAAGCAGGGATCATTGTATCAATCTTCTTTTAGTCTGCCAGTTTCTTCATGTGTTCACGAATCTGTTCTGTCTAGTCTCTGTATTAATCTGCATTTTTAAACATCAGCATGAACATTTGTATTTTAATATGCATCTTTCATAAAATAGGCATTTGGAAACGTTTCTGCTTAAGACCTGCGTCACAACATTTTGGGAATTACCAGCGACTCTCTCTCTCTCTCTGTAGGCCACGAGACTCTTAACTTTAGGGTTGTGGGTTTGAGTCCCACGTTGGGCAAAAGATTCCTGCATTGCAGGGTGTTGGACTAATGTCCCTGGTGCTACAATTCCTTGACTCTAAGTGCATTCAGAGCTGTACATTAGATCAGGTGGTGAGGATAAGTCAGTTGGTATTGGCATTTGTAAAGAATGAGTTTTTCAACCACCCCTGTTCTGAAGAGGTTGGGAAGCTTGATGCCATGCCTGTGATACACAGCCCTTGCACCTCAGGAGGCAGATATGTCTGTTTTCTATAGTTTAATTAGAAGTTCTTGCTGTTGTTCTTTCATCTTAACAGTGCTCCAGCATCTGAGAACACGTCTTCTAATCTGTTTCCTGTATTGCTTTGATGAACGCCACCATATCATTTCAGATCATAATGAAATCTTATTTACCAGGTTTTTCCTTTTTTCTTTTTAAAAAATCAAACCCAAAAATGGCTGTAACAGCAGGAGAAATATTGCTGCACCCAACACCTATCAAGATCTGTTTTCTCTGAAAATTTCTAGGTGGTAAGTGTAGCACTTGGGGATGAGAACAGGGCTGTGACCTGTACAGCCCAGTGCTTTGCTTGTTTACTTGACGAACCCCAGTTAATGGAACAGGAACGGTAAGCTAGCAGCCTAATGAGCTCGTGTGCTGAGACTTCTGTATTCCTCAGCTCTGTGCCAGGTTTTCAACCTATCCTTGTTCCCCTGCCTTTTAAATGAGGGTTTTTGTGTGTACCACTAGATTCCATGCAGTGAAAAGCGCATGGAAAAGGTATCTGCTGATTTTGACAGATGGAAGTTTTGTTAAAGGCACAAGAACAGATTATACTGTCTCCACCCCTCACCCCCGTGCCCCGTTCATCATTGGCAGATCCGATGACAGGCCTGCTTGAAAATTGACAAGTATGTGTTTTGTGAGCCATTTGAAATTGGATGGTCAAACTTACTGCTCTGACCATGATGCCATGTGCAGTCCATAAAGATACCTTAACACTTAAAGGCTTATCATAGTATCCCACTGTCCCTCCAAACGGGGTATATTGATTTGTTTGGAATGGCTTTGGAAAATAATGGTGCTGAGAGGAATAAATTCCTTATTGCTGTTGGTAGTGATATCATAGAAGTCATATTGTAGAGTTGGAAGGGACAATGAGGATCATTTAGTTCAACCCCCTGCAATGCAGGAATATGCAATTTGTCCCATACAGGGATCGAACCTGCAACCTTGACATTATCAGCATCACACTCTAAGCAACTGAGCTGTTAATTTCACTGTTTGTTAAAAAACAACCCTCCTAAGTAGAAGTTGTGCTATTCACAATGTTATATGTTCTAATAGGAAAAACAGATGAACTGTTAAAAAACAACCACCTTCTACCAGAGGTGGTTGTTTTTGCAATAAATGGCTTCTGTTACTAAATCTTTCCAGGTGGTGATGAGCTGAGCAGCCACCCTGTATCTTCTTAAAACTTTTTACTAGATTCCCCTAAGTGTCCAGAAATTTATCCGTCACAATCCATTATCAGTATCAAATCAGCTCATTTCATAATTCAGCTGCAATCCTAGGTAGACTTACTTGGGAGTAAGTCCAGTTGAATTTAGTGGGGCTTGCTTCCAAGTAGACATGGATCAGATATGTTAACATGTAAATTTATGAACATTTTGGTTTTTTCTACATGCCTCCTGAAACTAGTTTCAGTGCTGAAACAGTCAAAGTGAAACCAGGATGATAAAACAGAAATTCATGTTAGGTTTCTGTATTTTTAGCTGTGGGGACAATTTTGCTGCTGCTTTCTTGGACTATAATTTCTCTTGTTGACCCTATAGTGTGTGTTTCTCTCTCTCCAAATAGAAAATATGTTCTCTTGTCTGCATTTCTTTTAGACTAGGTTTAAACTCCGTATCTAATATTAAATAATTTTGAGTGGAAATTTTAGTGATAAGGCTATATCAGTGTTTCCTAGCTGTCAAGGTTTTGTTAAAACCATTCTTTAATACAGGCTTCCAAGTGCTTAGAATATTGCATTTCCCCCTAAATTCACATGGCTACCTCTAATATCAACCATCCATATTGCAGAGACATCTCCAGGGGGTAACATCCATCCAAAACATTTCTTGCTATCTTCTCTCTCTCTCTCTCTCTCTCTCTCTCTCTCTCTCTCTGGTTCTTACTCCATTTGACAAAGTCCCATGGCTCCAAGAATTGCAGCAAATGAGTGACCAGAGATTTGCAGTTTGTTAATCGCAGCACTTGATAAGAGTCTGCAGGTGACTTTAAATAAAAATGTTTCGCTTTTCCTTCAGCTCTATGAAGTTATGTTCGTTACATATCTTTAGGCACCAGTTAAAAACATCTCCTAGGCCTTTGGCTAATTAAACAACCCATGGCCTTTTCAACTGTGGGGGCAGTATTGTTGTTTGTTACTATATTATGTATTTTTGTGTTTTTATATTGTAAACCGCCCTGTGATCCTCGGATGAAGGGCAGTATAGAAATTTAATAAATAACAAAAATAAAAAGTAGATATCTGGCAGGAATTTCCAGATTGAGGTCAGATCAGCCACCTTCAGCAAAGAGGTGATAGCATCAAAGAAAAACTCAGCATCTTAGTCTTCTGCTTTCCATGTGTACAAGTTGATACTGGAGGTTGCTGTGTATAGATAGGCTAACTAACAGATGCAGATCTGCAGGGATATAGATGCAGAGGAGTTCATATCTACATCCAACTGTGACAGCAGAATCCTTCTACCAGATGGCTCACTCCTCTTCCAGTGTGCTGTGCTCCTATGCTCCCGACGAATGCTGTCGGCATGAGTGGTTTTATGGCATATAGTGCTACCCTCTCCTTTTGAAGTTACATTTACTAAGTGGGATGAGCCAGCTGAGAGCAAGAAGAAAAGATGAAGGCACAACAGCTTGTTTGGGCTGAATCGCCCTCCCTTCCCATCCCTGACAGGGCCAGCTACCACCAAGTGTATTGTGGAAAGGACCCTAAGATAGCAAGAAGGGCAGGTGAGTGAATAATATGACTTCTTCTTAGAGTAGTGTTTCTCAAACTTGGGTCTCCAGCTGTTGTGACTACCCAACATTACCCCTCACCCCTGGACCTACTAGCTATGGATTTGTAGTCCAACAACAGCTGGAGACCCAAGTTTGAGGAACACTGTCTTAGAGGGTTATCTACTGCCATCTGCCCTGTGGGAAGGATCCTGAGGACTTGTTGTGCTTGATACTGCTTATTGTGGTGGTGCATCTAGATGGGATCTAAATAACCATTAGAAAGGTGTTTCTGTTGTTGTTTTAGCATTTATCTTTTAAATGAACAATTTAAAACCACTTTTATTTGGGGGTTTAAAGGCTAAATTCTGTATTCAATAAGTCACTTCGAGACATTTATTAAAAAGTGTTGGATTAAAAGAATAATAATAAAAAACAAATTACAGCAACATCTGAAGGCTGAAGAACACAGAAACATAGGAAACTGCCTTACACAGAGTCAGGCCCATTTAGCTCAGGATTGTCCATTCTGGCTGGTAGTGGCTGTCCCAAAATTTTGGGCAAGGATTGAACCTGGGACTTGCTGCATGCAAAGCAGATTCTCTGCCACTGAGCTGTGGCTCTTCCCCATTTTGGTTCTATGCTTTAATATTTTGTGAGATGTTTTGTAAAAAGCAATGGATAAATGCTAATGATCAAATGGCAAAACAGCTGAAGGTGTTACTATTACAAGTGTGGCTTGTGATCAAGAATCCTGAATTTCCTCTAATGAGGATGGGGAAGGAAAGGGAAGGTGGAAGGAAGCTGCTGCCACAGGGCTCTAATCTTGCATCACGACTAACTCACATCATGGTCCATTTGATGCCTGCTACAGTGAGGCATTGGCCAAGAGTTCCTGCCTCCCCCAGGAATTTTCTGTGTGTCTCCCTATAGACACCTGCCTCTCACTTTGATGAATATTGTCTTTAGGGAATGTTTAAAATACAAGGAGGAGTATGAACCCTAAGCATATTTACTTGGAAGGGGATTCCACAGCAATAAATGGGACTGACTTTCCAGTAAATGTGCTCAGACTGAAATCAGACTATCTGAAGGTGGCAGAATCTTTCCCTCCGGTTTCATTTTGTATCAACTTCCTTTTTGTATCTTGGTTTAGTTTGGGCAGAGCTACTTAAAGGAAAACTTGGTGGACGCCAATGAAATGTGATGGGCACTTTGCATGCTAGTGCCCAATTATGTGTATGGCTGACAGTGTGTTTTGCTGAGTTTATCATTCCGTTGAGATCAATGAGAATTAGTTCAGTCTGATGGAGAAGGCTTTAAGATGGATAAGGCAATAGATTTAGCTATTGCCATAGACTGATGTACGCTCACTTGATTCAGTGCTGTTGTTTCGTGTCATGCTGGTCCTCTTCCGTATCAAACCAAGCATTGTTGCATCGTGTTTTAATCATTGCCTTTTGTATAACTGCTGATAACGCAGAGGTGTGGCTCCTATTGGTTTTACGAGGCTATTCATTTGCACTTTTGTGCTGCTTTTCTGATCTAAATGAGCAGCCAAGATGACATCCGTATAATTAAATAATGAAACAACAAATAAAACACTGTAGCCCGTACTGCTATTAATAAAACATGCTTGCCCATAGCACAATAAAACATAGACCACATGCAGCAAAACAAACCACTATATTAGCAGTGGTAATAATGAATGAAGCTGTATCAGAAGCCCAAGATCTCAGATAATACTTGCTCCCCAGGATTGGTCTGAAAGAAAGAAAGAGTGTCAAGGATTTTCTACACAGTTCCTCCCAAGTAAGTACATGACAGAGCAGCAGTAGTGAGCTCTGCCTATGACTGGCATGTCTTGTTTTAGTAATAGAGCTCACACATCTTTTAACAGGTACCCGAGAGGACATTAAACAGGTGAAGCCATTTGTAGCATGGGAATGCTTCACCTGTTGAATTTTTCCAACTGTTAAGAAATCCTGTTGTTGTTTTTCCAACAATGACACTTTGGTCTGCAACCTTTCCTGGCCCTTGTCGCTTCTAACCTGAGCCTTTTCACATTCTTATTGTTGGTTGTTTGACTGTGTCTCGTCCAGGTCACAGAATGCAGAGCTTATCTTGGCTGGCTGTTCCAGCATTCTTCTTGTCTTGAAGTCCAGCCAGTCTTAACCTTCTCCTCCTCTTGGCTGCCAGCTGGCACTTTGCCTACAGTGACAAGTGAGGGGAGGAGCTGTGGACAGGGGTGTCCTACTTCTGTCCCGTCTTGCTTGCAGTTCTTGTGTGCCGCCACAGTTCTTGTTCTGATTCCTTGAGAGGCAGAAGTTTTGCTCTTTGGTAGGACCTAAAGGTAAGGGACCAGCATTAGCAGGTTTTATCAGAGTGCGTTAGGAACAAAAGGTGTTTTGGTTTATGGGATTTTTTGTGTGTGCTTTTAATTTAAATCTCTTTTGAATGGCTCAGCCCTTTGGCTAATGTGCAGCATTATCAGCAATGATAAATTACCAAGAACTTTCTTGCACCTGACTTTTCTTTTCTTTTTAAGAATAAAATAAAAATAAAGCAGTACTTTAGGCTGCCGTCATAACCACATTCTCAGAAATAAGTCTCATTTAATTAAATGAGGCTTACTCCCAGGTAAGTGGGGTTAGCAATTCAGCTGTAACCATTGTAAATGTGTTACATTTTAAGAAAAGAATTCAGTTTTTGCATATGACTTTTGGTACTAAACCAGTCTTTTGAAGTTATGGAAGAGTACACACTTTTCAAAGAGAGCCAGTGCAGCTTGAGAGAAGACAGTGATAGTGTTCTAATAATACCCCAGTGTTTTTAATTATCATCTCATAATTATCGTAATTTTAATATCCAATAACTATTTTGGCTGTCTTAAGTGCGCTTTCTAGAGAGCAAACTCCACTGAAAAAAGGGGATTTACTTAAGGGTGCGTATGCTTTAACTCTGGACTGTTAATTCTTGTAGTTTGTACTACTGCTGCTCCACTCAGCTCACTTGGGCTAACAAGTTTTGGAAGAGATTGTAAAAATAAAATGTAAAATTATAAAAGCAAATTCAGAACAAGCAGATCAGGACATCTTGGCAGAAAATTAGAAGAATAGATTTCTCTAGACTTGCATGTGCAGTTGCTTCTCTGAATGTATTTTCCAGTCATGTTTTTAATAAGGCTCATGTTTACATACCAAGCACCTTATGAGATTCCATCATATTTTCATTAGGAAATACGTTAATGTGTTCAGATAGAAGCAATGTTTAAATTCACTGGCTGATGCATTCTTACTAATCAAATGTCAAATGTTTATTTGAATATCGTAGCTGTGGTGATACAACAACACTAGAAAAATAGGATTCAATCAGATTGCGTATGAGAATAGAATAGCATTTCTTTTTCTCCCTACAACCAGATTTTAAACGTATCTAAAATGCTTTTCAGTCTTACCAAGACATGTCTGGAATATAAACAAAACAAAGGATGTAACAAGCCAGCTTAAAATTTAAAATAACTTTTAAATTTCCAGTGTCCCTGCTACATACAGATCACCCTTCCTATTTATAGCGTGCATATATGAAGTTGAAAGAGCTGTGTATAGTCCTTCAAAAGCCGCAATTTGTGGACATGTTTGTGGATTGCCTAGAGTTGCTACGTGTTTCTTATTTTACATGCCATTTCAAAATATCGTGCAGCAACAGACTTTGACTTATTTTGGGCTATGGCAACATGCTAGAACATCTAGTGAAACTTACTGACAGGTTTGGGACAAAACAAAATAAATTTCTTCATGTAGCAATTTCCTTAAGAGATTCAGTGCCACAGTTTCTGGTGCTGGTTACTAGTTCAGGGCTACTTTTCATCCTGAACCTCCTTGCGGCAAGCTGTCCTTTGTGTCCCAGTTTGCCACTCAGACTGACCCACGTAGCACCGTTTGTTTGCATCCCAGTGCAATCTCTAACCAGGAATGTTTTGTAACTCTGGTCTGGATGAGGATAAGCACAGTCAATTCAGAGAAAGTGGAGGTGCTATTAGCTGCTGATTCAGGTGGAAGTGGACAACTTACTTTGGTTTTATGCCGCTTGAAGAGCCAATTGTATAGTTTGAAAACCATTGTCTGTCCAGGTGATGCCTTCGGTTAGGAGTACCCTTTTCCAGCTTAATCCAGTGCACCAGCAACTGCAAGCTTGTCTTGAAAAGTAGATCTGCTCTTAGTGACTTGTGCACTGGTTATATCCAGGCTGGATAGCCAAAATTCTCTGTGGGGTTGTACTTTTAAAGATCGTTTAGCAACAGTTTCAAAATGCAGTCACCAGAATAATAATAATAATAATAATAATAATAATAATAATAATAATATATTTATACCCCACCCATCTGGCTGAGTTTCCCCAGCCACTCTGGGCGGCTCCCAATCAAGTGTTAAATATTGCTCCCAATACAAATAATGCCCCCAATACTGCATTAAATATTAAAAGCTTCCCTAAACAGGGTTGCCTTCAGATGTCTTTTAAAAATAAGATATCTGCTTATTTCCTTGACATCTGATGGGAGGGCGTTCCACAGGGCGTGCACCACTACCGAGAAGGCCCTCTGTCTGGTTCCCTGTAACCTCTCTTCTTGCAGGGAGGGAACCGCCAGAAGGCCCTCGGCGCTGGATCTCAGTGTCTGGGCTGAACGATGGGGGTGGAGACACTCCTTCAGGTATACAGGACCGAGGCCATTTAGGGCTTTAAAGGTCAGTACCAACACTTTGAATTGTGCTCGGAAACATACTGGGAACCAATGCAGATCTCTCAGGACCTGTGTTATGTGGCCCTGGTGCCACTCCCAGTCATCAGTCTAGTTGCAGCATTTTGGATTAATTGCAGTTTCTGGGTCACCTTCAAAGGTAGTCCCACATAGAACGCATTGCAGTAGTCCAAGCAGGAGATAACTAGAGCATGCACCACTCTGGCCAGACAGTCCACAGGATTAACCTACGCCTCCATGGACAGCTGTGAGTCCAAAATGACTCCCAGGCTGTGCACCTGGTCTGTCAGGGCACAGTTACCCCATTCAGGACCAGGGAGTCCCACCTACCCACCCGCCCCCTGTCCCCCTAAAACAGTACTTCTGTCTTGTCAGGGTTCAACCTCAGTCTGTTAGCTGCCATCCATCCTCCAAACGCCTCCAGGCACTCACACAGGACATTCACCGCCTTCACTGGTTCTGATTTAAAGGAGAGGTAGAGCTGGGTGTCATCTGCATACTGATGAACACCCAGCCCAAACTCCTGGATGATCTCTCCCAGCAGCTTCATATAGATATTAAAAAGCATGGGGGAGAAGATGGAACCCTGAGGCACCCCACAAGTGAGAGCTCAGGTGTCTGAACACACATTCCCCACACCACTTTCTGAACACGGCCCAGGAGAAAGGAGCGGAACCACTGTATAACAGTGCCCTTGGATCCCAGCCCCTCTAGATGGTCCAGAAGGATGTTATAGTCGATGGTGTCAAAGGCCGCTGAGAGATCCAGCAGAACTAGGAAACAGCTCTCACCTTTGTCCCTAGCCTGCGAGAGATCATCGACCAGCGCAACCAAAGCAGTTTCAGTCCCATGGTGAGGCCTGACTCCCAATTGGCAGGGATCCAAATGGTCCACATCCTCCAGGCGTGCTTCGAGTTGTTCAGCAACCACCCGCTCATTCACCTTGCCCAAGAATGGTAGATTTGAGACTGGGCGATAGTTGGCTATATTGGCTGGGTCTAAAGATGTGAGGTGTCCAAATACTTCGAGAACAGTCAACCAAACAGCTTCCAAAATAGGTACAGTGGTGCCCTGCAAGACGAATGCCTCGCAAGACGGAAAACCCGCTAGACGAAAGGGTTTTCCGTTTTTGAGTTGCTTCGCAGGACGAATTTCCCTATGGGCTTGCTTCGCAAGACGAAAATGTCTTGCGAGTCTAGAGATGATTTTCCGCTTCCCCCTTTATCTAATCTGCTAAGCCTTTAATAGCCTTTAATAGCCTTTTAGCAGCTAATCCCTAAGCCTTTAAGCCTTTAATAGCCGCTAAACCGCTAATAGCGCTAATCCGTTAAGCCGCTAATAGGGTTGCTTCGCAAGACGAAAAAACCGCTAGACGAAGACTCTCGCGGAACGGATTAATTTCGTCTTGCGAGGCACCACTGTAGTAGGTCTTCAGTGTCTGAAAATCAGTGAGCATATATGTGCTTTATAAATATACAAGTTCCAAGTATACTTGGGTGCACATAAATGCTTTTGTATAGAACATGCTAATAATGAAAATATTAAAGTTGCTTCTTTCTGCTGGATACAATAAAGTCAAAACACACACTCATATGTTTAGGAAATTAACATATCTTGAGTCAGGACCTTATCAGTGGAACCCATATCAAGGATTTCACTAATCACAAACCTAGTTAAAGATTTACTTGATTTGAAAGGGCAGGAAGGAGCAGCAGCATAGATTCCATGCTGATTCTCTCTCTGTTGCCTGTTATAAATGGGTGGGAAGGAACTGCATGATATTTTTAAAACCCAGAGAGTTTGATTGATCTTTCTTGGACTGATACTTTTGAAAACCTCCTCCAAAATATCTAAAATATTTCAGGCACTTGCCTTTTTTTGTGGAATGGCAATCCACAAATAGAAATCTAAATACTTTAATTTATACCAGGTTTGTAAATGGGCACTTGCCCAGGGCAAGTAAGAATCGGCTGCAGGTGGCTAGGAAGCAGAATCTACTTCATGTTAAAAATAACTAAATTAATGAAGTTTCAATACATATCCAGCTGACAAAGTCCAGAAGCCACTAAAGCTAGGTGTGGAGGAAAAATGCTTCTGGAACTGTTCCTTGGCCAGCCATATTTGAACCATTATTTGTAAGGCTGTTATAGATTTACCATTCCTACAGCGTTATTCATCATCTGTGTTTCAGGATGGTTTGCTTGCTTCAATGTCAGCAGTTTCAGGAAACCTGTGTGTGTTAGAGCTGAACGAGAATTGGATGCTTTGGAAGTTCAGGTATTTTATATCCTTGGGCAGCCATTAGAAGTATAACCCAGAGCCCATCTATGAGAATGCCCAAAGGGCTTCTGCATTCCTGATGGGACTTTTGACCTCTTCCTTGCTCCCTGCTTTTAATAGCATTGCCTGTTCCTACATTTCAAGAAGTTTTTTGAAACTTTTCCAATTTCGGAAAATGGTTTGCCATTTGAGGCTACACTTCAAAACATACTGCATGGGTGAAGCCAGTGACTCTTTAGATGGTGGCTTTAGAGCTACATATGTTCTCGCAATTGGCTGCCTCTGGGCTTCCAAGCAAACACAAAAGATCAAACACAGTCAGTTTCTTTGCTATGAATGCCGGTGATATGGAATATTAGTTAGCACCGTCTCCCTGCGTGCTGAAGCATAGGAACCAAAAAGAGTATGGTAAATTGTTAACGAGAGGAGGGAGAAAGAGGTTCAACATCAAGATTAAAAGTAATTGTTCATGTGATACAGAAAAATGTGTAGCATTTCTTATTTTCCTGCTGCAGCAGCCTCGGGGAAATTCCTAGTCTCTGTGGCAAAATTTGTGAGGCTCTGTGAAATTTGATTTGGTACCTCAACGGATCTTAAACATCTTTTTCATCTTATTAGCACCCCTGTGCATTCCTGCCTTCAAGCTAGCTGCATTAAACCTGATAGGATTTTCTTCTAAGTTAACATATATAGGAATGGGTAATGTTTATGTTCGTTTATTTGGACCTTACCAAGGATGGCAAGAAGTCTTCTATCTTTATAGTAAGCCTCAGTCCCTGCCTATACTGCTTTCTGAATAAACTGTTGTTACTTGTCCTAACATGGCAAAGGGAATAAAAAAGGGCAACTAAAATATGAAAAAGTTATCATCTCTGCTTTTTGCTGGGGAAGAGAAGGGGAAGCATAATTTGGGCAGATAATGTTAAAACTTGCCTTTTCCTAAAGCTCCTTGTTTGAAATAGTGCAGATAAAATTTTCTGTTTTGCTTTATTCATATATGTAACCTAAACAGAAGACTGCTTTTGGTGGTAGTTGACTGTTTACCACTATCTGGGAGAAATGGCTATAAGGAGTTTGTGTGTGTGTGTGTGTGTGTGTGGTAGCTTGTTGCATTTGCTCATGAGTAGGTATTGTTTCACATTGCTCCAATCTCCAAGTAGTGTGAGATTCCAGGCGCTTTGACCAAGGTTCATGTTTGCTTTTGGAATTGAGGCACAGTGGGAGACTGTGGTGTCTTTAAGATATATGGCTTATTTACACATATACGGTATACAACCTGAGCCTGCGATGGAGGGGTTCACAGCATCAACAACCCCCCAAAAGTCTTGTTTCCCCCATAGTATCAGCCTTGGATTCAAACAGACACTATTGCTCTGTCTCCCTGTCTTCTCATAGCTTGCTGTTTTATATCTGGCCCATATCACAGTAACTGTCTCCCTCAACTCTAGCTTTGTCTGTTGAGGGAGGGGAGGCACCCATTTGTCATGTCATGCCAAGCACCGTAATCCCCCATCACATCACCAGGAAGCTAGCTTGGCTATTCCAGGAATTAGAAAGCTTGGATAGCTTTTAACACTTGCTGGATCCAGGGATTAGAGGGGTCTGGCATACAGCTTAACATCCCAAACTCATAATAGTACTATAGTTTGTCAGCTCCTTAGGGACAGAGACCTATCAACCTGTTCTTCTTTGGCGATCACTCGTAGCCAAGTAAGATTGTCTCCCATGAACACAGTCTTAACAGTGACTCTGTAAGTGACTGTGGAGGCCAATTCTGGACCCACATGTCCTTCCACAGTAGGGACTTAGGTTTCTGGGTGTGAGTTGATCATGGTGAGGGTTTGCCAAACATGCCTTCCTCTTAGCACATTTTTCCCTTTCGTCCTGAGTTCAAGTCTCTTCAAAGTCCATGACACCTTTGGTAAAGGCTGTTCTCCAATTGTTGGTGTTTATATTACATTTTTTAAGATTTGCCTTGAGAGACTCTTTGAACCTCTTTTGTTGACCACCAGCATTACACTTTCCATTTTTAAGTTTGGAATAGAGTAGTTGCTTTGGAAGATTATAATCAGGCATTTGAACAACCAGACCAGTCCGATGAAGTTGATGTTGAAGAATCATTGCTTCAACACCGGTGATCTTTGCTTCTTCCAGTACACTGGCATTTGTTTGCCTGTCTTCTCATGTGATATGCAAATTTTTTCAGAGACACCATTGATGGAAACTTTTGAGGAGTTGGCATTTATAAGTGGTCCATGTTTCACAAGTGTACAGTAAGGTTGGTAGTACAACAGCTTTGTAAACAAGCATTTTGGTCTCCCTATGAATGTCCCAGTCCTCAAACAGTCTTGCACTTCAATCGGGAGAAAGCTGCATTCGCTGAGCTCAGGCAATACTGGATTTCGGCATCAATGTCTGCCATTGTGGAAAGATAACCAGAAAGAAACCAGTAACGTATAATATATGATGATGCTTTATGCATAATAATGAAAAAGGTAGTCAAACCACCAACAGGACCTGAAATTTTGTGCAAGTTTTTCAAAACACCCAACCCAGGAAGTGGAACTATTTATAATTTGGGTGGTAGTGAGGAAGAACTTTCACTCTCTCATCTAGTTCCCCTTGCAGTCAGGATCATCCTTGCATTGTACAGTTGTAACGTGTCTGGAGGCTTTCTTACAGGCTTCTGTACTGCAGCAGGATCCTAATTTGCTCACAGGCCAGCCCCTTTTATCAGACTGGAGTCAGCACAAAATCGGGTGCTGGTGAAAGGAGAAGAAGGAATTCAAACAAAGAAATCTAGGCAACACCTACCACAGATATTTATTCCTTGCACAATACTGGTACCTTTTAAAGTTGCATAAGGCATAAGCAGTCCTGTGAGAAGCCTCTTCTCTTTCTCCCCTTCTGCTCTGGGTACTCATGCAAAAACTCATGCATGGGTTCACATCCCCTCCATGCACTGGCTGCACAACCCACTGAATCCTTGTGGGCAGTGCAGAAGCTTGTGCAGTTTGAATGTACTGAATTGTACAGAGAATACTGTGCAAACCCTCATCCCATGGTTTTTGTATCATCTCTGGTGTCTGGTTGGACAACATGAGCGAATGGATTGGAAAGCTGGTCTGTTACAATTTAATTATTTCTGGTTCTTTTGCTTTAGCTGTGTCCTCCTCCTTTTCCTCCTCTTGCTGTGATGGCAAAGGTTGCTGCTGTGGCTGCCTCTGTGACTAACAGCCTTTAGGCTCCACTGCTTTCATTAGTGCTGTTGTGGTTGCAGGAAGCCGAAGGAGGGAACATTTGAAAAGAGCAGTGATGGAAATCCTAAAATGTGTGTGTATTTTAAAGAATGCTGATTTATTTTTCTTTTGTCCCCTCCCCCCCTTTTTTGCAGCAAACAGTTACATGCATACTGCTCTGTGTTTTGTTTATATACTGTAAATTTCTGATAGCTGGAATCCCCAGCAGATTCCCGAAAACCCTATTCAGGATTTCCAACCCCTAGTATAATAATATATTGCTGGGCATGTGGAAATGGCATGGCCAGCAAATGACTAAGAGCTGCCTTGGTAGACAGAGCAGCATTCAGAAGGAAACCTGGGAACTTGGGATGAGAGAAACCCCATACTGTGAAGGGGAAATGCTGGTGTCATTTGCGTGAATGGGAAACACAGCTTTGTGGGATTTGGCCTGTGGTAGGTGCTTCAGAGTGGATCTGAAGTATTCTGCAAATGTATCCAAGCTAAACATAAGCTAAACCTAGTGGATTTCAGTGGCTGGTGTGTCATCTCTGTGGTCTGAAAAAGGGTTTTCCTTTTTTAATTATTGCCGTCATGATTGAACTTTGTGGATGCTCAGAAACAAGCATCTGTCAGCTAGCTTCTATCTGGTGCAAGCTTCAATCCAGTGGCATTTTTACACATGTACCCACAAATGGTACAAGGGTGTGCCTCTTTATTAACAATGGCTGGAGTGCAGAAGGCAGCAGTTTTAAAATTAGGAACATAGGAAATTGCTGTATACTGAGTCAGAGCAGTGGTCCATCTCTGACTGGCAGCATCTCCAGGGTTTCAGAGGGCATTCCAAGTCCTGCCTGGAGATGCCACTGGGAATTAAACCTGGGACCTTCTGCATGCAAACAGAGTTGGATGAGCCTGCAGGAGTCATCTAGTCCAGCCCCATGCAATGCAGGAATCTTTTGCCCAACATGGGTCTCAAACCCATGACCTGGCGATTAAGAGTCTTGTTGTAAACGTAACTTAAATGTGAAATCATAGAATCATAGAGTTAGAAGAGACCACAAGGGCCATTGAGTCCAACCCCCTGCCAAGCAGGATGACCCATCTTCTTTCACATGTTCAGCCTAGAGAAGCTGATCAGAAGCAGACAATTTTTAGCATGCCTGGGTTGGACTCAAAGGTTGGTTGTGCACGAGAGAGGCTGTTCCTGCAGCCAATCTCTCTCAATTCCTTCTTGACTTCTTTACTCTCCCAAAGGTTCTTTGGGGGATTGTGTGACCCTCAAAACAGCTTTGGTTACATTGCAGGGACTGCAGCATCAGGAGGAGAGATCTCTCTCCAAACTGGGCAGACATCTCTTGTGAAACTGAAATATACTGGGAGTTGAGAGTGGATTTCATGCTCTTTATTCAGCTCATAGTGGTGAGGAGGAATGGAAGTCCCCCCAGAATGTCTGCTTTATATACATTATTTACACAATGGGCCCCACGTGACTGGCTAATTCCAGGATTCACCTGTAGGCCAATCAGGTTGTGGATTCACTTCCACCTGGAGCTGGATTGGGTGGCTCCTGTGGACCAATCAGACTGCTGCATTCTGGATCCTATTGTTCTAGGACCAATCAGACTGCTGCATTTTGGATCCTATTCAACTCAGTACATAACAGAAAGCAATGTACGAGGAATCATTTTTTCTTTTTTTAAAGAAGAAAACTGCCTTATGCTGAATCAGACCATTGTCCATCTCCTTTAGTATTGTCTACATGTACTGGCAGCTGTTCTCCAGGGTTTCAAACAGGAGTCTCTCCTAGCCCTGTGTGGAGATGCCTGGGATTGAACCTGGGACCTTCTGAATGCAATGTAGATGTTCTGCAGCTCAGCTGCAGCCTTTCTCCAAAGATTATATAGTTCTGTGTCTGGAATTTCCCATCCTCCATCCCTTTTCTATTTGTTTTCTTTATATAATATTTTTTTGACCGTACATTACAAACTTTATTTTCTGAGGGGGTTTCTGTTTTTCAGAGTACTCTGAATCCTTCAGTATTAGTGTCTAAAACCAAAACATCTCAATAAAACCGAAATTTCCCAGTGGAAGGGGCTTTTATTATTTCTTTTAGCATGACCCTTCATGAACTGTGCAGCTAGCACAGCAGTGCTGATACAGATTCTCTGTTTTTTTCCTTCTGTTGTGCTACCAAGAGATGCTTTGGGAGCGAGTATCATTCTGTAGCATTGGATCATATATGGTATGCACTTTTGTGGAATATTCCTCTGTTTCCACCCATTCCTTTTTTTTTATATCTTGCTACAGGTTGAATTTTGCTTTTGAAAGGTAGGGGGAAAGGAATTATCTCTGGCATTTTCTATTGCCCGCCCCCACAAGCCGCTTCCTGGATCCTTTCCACCTGAACTTATGACCAAGGATTCCACCCTAGCCCCAGCTCTTGCTTTCCAGTTCCAGAAGATGGGCTCATTCCGGAGGCCCCGGCCACGTTTCATGAGCTCCCCAGTACTGACTGATTTGCCACGGTTCCTGGCAGCTCGGCAATCTCTGCAGCTTAGCTCCAACTCTGCCTGGAACAGGTGAGCACCACTCTTTTCACTAAGAAAAGCTGCCTTTGCATAGCTTAATTGAATTTAATTGAGTAAATGTGTGTACAGTATGTGGGAGAGGCTCCATTATATTCCATCATGCATCTGCAACTTGCCTACACAGGCATTCTCTCCCCCCCCCCCCTGAATGTAGCAAGTGCATTAAAACTAGATGAATGAATTTGTGTAATGCCTCTATTTTTGTGTGTTTGATGGCATCTAGTTCTGTTTCCCCAATCAACCTTTTAAGCAATGGTAAGCAGTAGAAGCTATCCATACTAGGGAGTCTTCATCGGTAGGTACATATTTTCAGAGTGTATAATTTTATATTTGTTTTTTACAGAAATTGTAAAAAACATTCAGAACCATATGTAGCTATCCTGCCTCTTGGTGCATGTGTAATCAAAACCATGGCTTTGCAGGGCGAGTGCAAACCATAGCTTGCTGATTTAAATGTTAAGACGGTGGTATGTTTTAAACTGGAAGTTAGGAAAAGAATCTGAGCACTAGCTTGGCAGGAATGCAAGAGCCCAAGGCTCAGTTGTATAATGTCAGACAAGGTTTGATGTTGCAGCTTCTGACATTAGATCAGGAGCCAAAAGCCCATCCCTAATCTGATGCTTGCTGTTTTCTGTAGAATACACCAACAGCAGTGACTGACTCCAGTCACATTTTACTCTCAAAACTGTGCTGTGGAATTTCTTTGCTAACAGCATTGTTCCGCATGATAGAGGGGTAACTTTGTATAAGCAGATGCCCACACAGCTCAACTGAGTCTGTTTCCAAATTCAGTGAAGACTCTTGTTCCCTTGACTATGGTGTTCTGTTTTCCCCTACCTTTCCTGGGTAATACCCTTGATGGAATAGGGGTCCTTGGTTCCTTGTAGTAACACAGGTAGGAAATCTGCAGTCTGGATCATACACAGTACTTGACCCCCCCCCTTGTTATAGCTAGTACAGGCCTGTGAAACACAGTCAATTTTCTTAAATGTCTAGCCATCCATTATATTTCTACTCCCATATTTCCAGAGTAAATTGGAATACAAGATGGCAATTTTTTTAGTGTGTTTTTTGTTGCTGAACAAGATGATGCAGCGCTCATGAAAAATGGCACTGAAAATGACCTGTGCCATTGGCTACTTTTCATGATGGCTATGCTCTACCTCCACTGTCAGAGGCAGGGAAACACAAGTGGAAAGAGTGTTTTTGCACTCTGGTCCTGCTTGTGGGATTCCAAAAGGCATCTTTTTGGTCACCATGAGAACAGGATGCTGGACTAAAAGGTTCTTTGCCCAGCAGAGCTCTTGTTAGGTGGCAGTAGTTTAAGAGCAGTAGCTTAGTGTGGGTCTAATAACTTCTGCTTGTTGGTGAGTGAGTGGGTATTAGTCCCTTGGTGTGTATAAACTGTGTTTTCTGCTCTGTTACTTATTGGCAGCCATTGGCAAACAACTCTGATGATTCCAGGGAGAGGGGGGAAAAAGCAGAAGCAATTTAAGGACAATTAATCTACTTCTCTGCTTACTGATATATTTACATGGCTCCTGACTGCTGTTTCATTGCTCCGTGTAAATCATACTGATGCAAGTTATTTATGGCTGCCCTAACTGTCTTGCTTCTATTTGGCAGTGTTCAAGCAGCAGTGATCAATGTGTTCAAAGGGGGAGGCTTGCAAAACAATGAACTCTACATCCTCAATGAAAATGTAAGGTATGTTGCTCTGACTCTGTTGTATAGAATTGCCTGCCTGATGCAGAACAGGTGGCGCAACTGAGACCTGTGTGTATATGACCATGGCAGTTGGTTGGTTTACGAGATTCACAGCCTGCCTTTTTTATTTTTCTTGGCAGTGATGCAATAACTGTTGCTTGAAGCTTTTCTTATATATATACACAAAAATGGACTAAGCAGTAGCTGGCGGAGTGGTGGTGCTCTCTCCTGACAGCTGAGTTACTGTTTACCAGGAATGAGAGGTGCGAGGCACTGGGGAGGTTGACATGATGCAAACATAGTGTTGGGAGCACAGGATTGGCTGTCTCTCTCTCCTTATTGATGACCACCAGTAACTCAGCTGTTGGGGGTTAGGTGAGCACTGCCCACCCCAACACGCCATCTTCTACTGGCACTAAGCATAAGGTTCATCATGTACAAAATGATTCTACTTGGGGAAAATGAGTGCTGGATCAGACCCATATGCCGATAGATGACATCAGGCTCTTAATAGGCTGCTTTGATTTCCACTGTACCCCAATCACACACTCACCAAATTATTGAACTCTCTGTGGAGCTAGGAAGCTGATAGTATTGCAGATGTTCTAGTTTACTAATAGCAACTACTCTGTACATGGTCAGAAATGCTGTTATGCATAGTTATATTTGCAGGATTCAGAGCAGAGATCCCCAAAGTTAGGGAATTTCCACATACCTATTATTTTTTAAGGTATGGTTGTTATTGAGCTCTCTTCTCCTCCTCTTGCTGCTTCAGGAATGAGTGAATGTGTGTTCTTTGTGGTTTGATTAAATAAGCTGGAACCTGGGGTTGCTGCCCATTCTTCAGTCATGGTGATTCGTGGAGGTATATTTTGAAAGGTGAAATCAGATTTCTGCTTTGATGGCTGGCTTCTAGCGGCACTGGATGCTTGCTCTTTGGGTTCTAACTTAGATGAAATTAATGCTTTGGCACTGAATTTGTGTGTGTGTATGTTATGGGCATGGCACCTGGGCAACAGCTGGATGGGGGCTCCGACCTCTTAACATCTTGACATATATTTCAATGTTCATTAATTTATGAGTATCTCAGTCCACTGGTGAAAGCTGGGATACTCACAGTGTGAAAGACAGACTACTTACTTGCATGCTAAGTTCATTTAAACAAAAGCCCTCATCAGACAATTATGCTAAAAGATTAATTTCCTAGAGTAAGACTCTACAAAGTGAGCACGGGGTAGAGTTCGTTTCATTTCCCAGACTTGGGTTTTTCTCTTTGCAGTGCCAGCGATCATGGCTTTTAAAATACTACTCTTAACCTTGAGTAACCATAAAGAATGACCTCCTTGTCTTTTCTCGTCCTTCAATGTCCTCTCCCCACCCGCCTCTATGAACTTAGTTTGAACGTCGTCAACACAGAGGAAGCCAAACTGTTTTGACAAAAGGTTATTAGTGTTTTGAGTGCCACTGTTTTGGGGATGAAACTGCTGAGGTTACGCAAAGTTATGTATTAAGTTAGGAACAGTTTTAACATTCTCCATGGCAGTATAAAAGCCTTTTTGTACTCGTTTTCAGTATTCTACTTGAAAACAAATCTATAAGGCATGAAATTCCTCCCACAAGGTTTGATTTAAAAATGAAGGCTCCTTAAAATTCTGTTCACTGATTTTTATATCATCAGAGTAAGACGATTGCTTCTGCATGCTTTGACAAATTACTTTATAAGTTGCCTCTGGAATCTGATTCCTCCCTCCCCTGCCTCCCATCAAACTGTTTTCTTAATGCATTCTCCAAATTTAACCTTAGAACGATAGGTTGCCCTTTAAATTGTGGGAAAAAAGTAGTACAATTGATCTTGCTTTATGGATTGACAGTATTACTATTATCCTCATCTTCATCATTTATTAGAATTATATAGCCACCCCTCAATAAATGTTCTCTGGGTGGCTTACAAAAAACAAAATCACAGTAATATATAGAAATGACAATAACCGTAAGGCAAGAAATGGCATTAAATAATTTATAGCCAGGATTTAAAATGCACTTGAAAAACCATGGTGAATAAAGATATATTTGCCTGGCACTGAAAAGGCCATCAGGATGATGCTGAGACACCCTTTCTGGGTAGGCTATTCAATAGCAGAGACACTATTTTGAAAAGGCTCCCCAATGTCATGGACTGGTTGGATGCAGAGGAATAACAAAGTAAATTGGTAGATACTGCAATTTCCCTTGGACAATGTGTGGTTGCTTTCTGCTTTCCCTCTTCTCATAACTTTCTTTGACCTTTTTATTTATTTGTGGTCTGCAAACTGTAAATTATATTCATATTTTGGAAGTTAGGAATGGTGGTCATGCATTTTATTGAGCAGATTGGCTTGTAGCAAGAACACAAATAGTAAGTGCATTGGAGTGGAGGGGTTGGAGAGAAGGCTGGAAGATGTCAGTCAGTAACATGATGGAGAGAATGGCCTTTTTTCATCTTCATCTCACATGCCCAGATAAGAACTCTGTTGGCAAACTAGTTTGCCCACTGATTAGGATGATTAAAAAAAAGCAGGGACCAGTGACCAGTGAGAAAATTTGCTAAGCACTATTGTAAGAGAATTTAGCACCAAAACACGTCCCTTGCATCTCTTTTGTGGATCAACTACATCAAAAGAAAACACTGTGAACCATAAAGAGGAAAGTGATTTAGGACAGCAGGCCTTCCCTCCCTCCCTCTGTGTGTGGGTGTGCACACATGCATGTGTACACATGTGATGTCACAGTAGTTGACACAGAAATGGGTTCATTAACTGGGAAGTCTTAGATAAGGGTTATCTTTGTTGCATATCTATTTACAGGTTAAGTTTAGTTCAGGTGGTGTATGAATTTGGCATAGTTTGTGATCCTGTAGTGGTTTAGCACTCCTTATCACCATCCTGAGCTTCATTTGGTACTAAGCAAAAGTGAGGATTGAGATGTACTTAATTCTGTTCAGGGTATTCCTAAAAGCTCCTTAGGTAGGGTTGCTATATTTCAAGAGGTAAAAATCCGGACATAAAAAGTTGTTGAGCTTTGTTAGGGCAGTTGCCCAATAGCCCCTCTGCCGCTGCTGAGTCAGAGTCTAGGGCACCTGTCCCAGAACCAGAACCACAAGCACACTTAAAAAAAAACAAAAAACCCCAAAATCCAGGACATTAGCTTTAAAATGTAAAATTTCCCCCCTGATGGGCATGTAAGAGCCCCCAAAGATATGCCCAGGAATTCCTAGACGTATGGCAACCCTAGTCTAGGTATCACAGGGCCCTAAACAGAATGGCAGTCCATTTATGGTGGACCACTCCCAGAAGCTTCTCTGCCAAGCTCCTTGCTTTACAAGATGCAGACCAGAAGTTTGAAATTGCCCTCTCGGGTCTAGCACTAATAGACATTAAAAAGCAAGGCAGCTATAGCCATCTGTGTTACACTGCTCAGCATATGGGAAAAAAATGTCGGGTCGCATGCTGCCTCCCTGTGTAGTCAAACCAAACACAATGCATTGGAACATGGGATTGGCCTAGGTCTGAAAAGAAACCCTGTCTCCCATGGCAATTGCCCATGCTACCTTGGAAAGCAGCTTGGCAGAGAAGAAGGCCTCCTGATCAAATTCTCTGCCTAAATTCAGCCTAGTCCCAAATAGATCTGTTTTTCTAATCCAGATCACCATATGCTCCAATGAAATGAACTTTGCAGCGGCTGATACAAGTTGAATCCACAACATCTGGATGGCCACAGGTTCACCATCCCTGGTATAAAGCAAAAGGTTCCATGTGACTCTCAAAAGTCAGTCGAGCCAAGTTAGGAAAATTGCTTTAGCTTTGAGGACAATGTGTTCCTGTAAGAACTGTTCTGGGTTTAGGCAACAAACCCCCAAACCCAGTGCTGTTTCTCTGGTCAGTGGCCATATCAGAAGCATCATAGAAAACAGGAAAGAATTTAAAACAAAAAGAACGCTTCAAAACGGTTTGCAGTCCTTATTGGTACACCTGTGTTTTATAGAGTTGATTTTTATTGAATGGGCTCTGGGAAATCTGCCTGTAAAACATTTTTTATGACATGTGATCCATTCCTTTTCAGGCGATTGTTGAAGAGTGAACTTGGATCTTTCATCACAGACTATTTCCAGGTAACATCTGTTCCTTAAGTGGACAGTTAAAGCTTTCCAAAGTTGTTTTTGTCTTATCTTTTGGCTTGTTCTTATGATGCTTGCTTTGGCTTTTCCTGTTCTGTAAAGTAAATGGGATGGATTCATTTTCATGAGTAGGTTTGCATACTGTTGCCTCTTCCAAGCAAAATCTTGGATCTTGGACAAAGGGTTGCATAGTTTGTATGAACAACATTGCTTACATGGTAATAATCACTGAAATAAGGGTGGACAACTCTATTTCAGTTTGCCAGGAGATACACAATGGCAGAGTCACAGTTTTTATTTAATTAGCTAACAAGGAGGCCTCACGAGGGGCTGGTTGTAGTATTTAAAATCCGCAAGGAATTTTTTCCTTTTCTTTATGTATTTCAGGGCGAAGTCCTGGCACTAAAAATCAGTGTCTGGAGTAAAACTTTGTTTAAATTGGCTGATGACCCATCCCAGTTGCTGCTAATCCACACTGGGTGTAGTACACTTAGAAAGACCAGTTGCATCAAAGCAACAATGGTAGCTCAAAGGAAATGTCCCATTCCACAAAAGAAATTACTTTGGGGTGCTCCTAATTCCCCATTCCTGGTGCTTCTTGTCAAGTGGCTCTAGGTGCTGGTGTAAAACTAGAGGTGCTCGTTGTGGGTCTGTGCTATGATGGCAACACTTACCCCTATGCAAGAGCTATGCAGTGGTGAGATGAGATGCTATTCAAGTAGAAATTGGTAGCATTTATGTGTGGGATGGAAATGAGATAAGTGGTCAACCCACACATCCCTAGTATTCTGTTGTGTGAGCACATATTCTGTGTCTTGCTTTGAAATGGTGAATGGAAATGTTAACAAGGCTTTCCAGAAATTCTGAAACTTGCCCGGCAGCAATCATTCACATACTGGAGGGGGAAATGATGCATTAGTCAAAGTGAGATACTATAGCAGGTGGATCACCTTTAATCACAAGTTGGGGGCTTTCACCTGCAGTTCACATTGGTTCAGTCCAGGGATTCAGCGATGAACAGCTCCTAGCCACAGGCTTATGGGTCCTTCTTGTGTGTAGGAGAGGAGGAGATTAGAAGCTTCTGCTTCTGGCTACCAGCAAATCATAGTTAGCTGTTAATGTCTCGATGCAACAAATTTCCCAAACTATGGTTTGATCCTGGTGGGTCATCCTGGTTTGTGGATAAGGAAAGAAGCGAGTGCATAGACCTTAGTCTCCCTGGTGCCCATTCCCGATTTTCCAAACCATGGGTTTATCATGTGAGTAACAAACCTTATGATATAGTCTTAAACACACTAGGGAATAAGCCACACTGAACACAGTAAGCATGCAAAGAATTTCACTGAGTTCTGTTGCCCTTTATGCAAGTGTAAAGTAATTGAATCCAAAGAGATGCTTGTTGCTCCTGGTTTCACAGTCTCACATTGTGCTGCACATTATTACAATTGTTGAAGGAAATAAGGTTTCACCAATGCCATCTTCAGTAAAAATGTGATGCATGGGAGCAATATATGCATTTTTTAAACAGCCGTGTACATGCATCAGGAAGATCTGGGCCAAGTGGATTTCTCAGAAACCCAATATGGATGTCTAAAGATGCTTGAGCATGCCTATTTTATGATGAAATGTTTGCTGCATAGTGGTAGCACACATGCTTCCTGCAGCCATCATAATGTCACCAGTAGCTCCGTTGAGACAGGGCTTCTCATAGCAACATGATTTCATTGTGCCGTATTTCTCTCCCGGTCAAAAAGAGAGGAAAGAAAAGCTATAAAAAAATCTGAACTTGCCAAAACTGCCTGTATGTGTGCCAGCACTATAAAAATAACTGGATGTGATCGTTTCCTGTAGATATTTTATTGCATGCCATTTTGTAGTACAAATTTGCAATGGCAATCCTCAAGGCAAGCGAGCTTCATCATGGTAGATTAATCAATGAAAGCTTTAGTGGATTAATTGAAAAGGATTTGAGTTAAAAGCACTTCTGTTGACTGTTTGGTTCTGGCATGCTTCTGTGTTAGAAATGAAAATGGGAATTAAGGGAAGATACGTAAGTTTTTCTTCCAACGGCGACTAGTAGTTTTTGTTAAGTGAATAGTAATCTCAATATTCCCGCAGCATCTCAAAAAACACCTAAAAGCATGGATTTTCTCTTGGCCTCTTTTGAAAAGCTCCCTACCTTGTCAGTTCAGGATTGGAGATGGTGCATTGATCCGATGTAAAATTATAATAATAATAATCTCTAACTGTATGAGATTTCAACCCATTTAGGTCTCGGAATAAACAAAGTTTAAAGTTGGAAACTATTTTCAACACAAGGGCCTCATTTATATTTTTAGCAGCATTTGGGGGCTGCGTGGCCATGGTAAGTAGGACCAGAGTAAAAAAAATGATACAGTAATAGATGTGACCCTTACCTTTGTACTGTAGGCTACATTCTAGCCATGTAAACGTCAATAGGTTTTCGTGGGGCCACTCCTCTCCACTGTCCATCTATGGAGAGCCAGATGGACTGAAACATCCCTCTAGGCACACAAAAGGCATCACAGTTCAAGGTCTAGTTTCAGTCAGGCAAAAGCACCTGAGGCAGAGCAGGGTCAGTGGATGGGGTTGGTTAGGGCCATATAGGTCTGAAGGGCCACATCAGGCACCTGGACCCTGACATTCCCTTTCCTGCCATAGTTTATCTCTGAACCCCTGACAATATCTGGTTTGTGGTTAAAAGTATAAATCAACACAAACCTTGGGGTTGTGCATTCGTTACTCTCTTCCTTCCATATTGCTGGGGATCAGAATGCAAGCTTTCTGTTTCGTTAGTGTCAAACCGTAGTTGGCTCACAAGTCAGGATACTATAGTTGAAGAATCCTGGCTTGTGCTCATAACAGCAAGCCATGGACTGCTATTGTGTCTGAATTGAGTTGGTCTGAAAGTCTACAGGACGCAATGTTTGATGACAGGAGAAAGCACTTGAGGGATGAGCTATGGAGAGCCAGACGGATTGAAACACTATTCCTATCTGCATTGTCTGAGTGCTCTATCATCCCTGCTCTGATCTTAGAAGGAGGGAGTGCTTAATAAAAATTGTCTATGTTTCTAGATGCATTCTTCTAGTGATGGATCAGTGTCCAGGAGAATAGATTATTGCACGCTGTAGGAGGCTGCATATATGCACTGAACTCTTATTCAGACCAGACTTCCAGAGGTAGTGGAAAAGCTGGAGAACGAATTTCTGCTCAAATAATACATGTATATACCACAACAAACTGCCACTGATTTGGGGGAATCAAGTCAGGGGGAAGCTGAAATAGGACTACCATCATCCCTGGCTATTGACCATGCCTGCTAGGGCTGATGGGAGGGTTCCTCACACCTGACCAAGACTGAAACAAAGCATAAACACTGTTATCCAGGAACACTTGATCTGCAACAGATGTAAATTTTAAAAATAACAACAGAAAGAGCTATTGTACTATGGGAAATGTGTGTGTGTGTTTTAAATGTCTCAGCATTTAGGAATGAGGATTGAGGAACATCTACAGCAGAAGAGGGTAGAAAAAATGTATCGTCTCTAGTACTTTTGAAAGTTCGGTTAATTGCTCAAGAATAAAATTCCTTTGTAGAAAAGCTCCAGGAAGATACTCTTGAATTCTTTTGCAATGTCGTTTCTTGAGAATTAACTGAAAGGAGACCAATCAACAAATCTAAAAGTTGACATTGGCAAAAGTGAGTGAAGCAATGAATGTGAATTTTACCTTTTGTACAGCACACTGGTTTTTCCATATGCTCCTTTCTAACCTCCATCCACTCACATAAAAGCCATTATCAAAGTTAAAAGCAGTGCTGACCCCCCAGGGGTGCTCAAGGGTACGCAGTACCAGTACCTTTTGTTTTCTAGAATGAAATAACTGGTTAAAAATGTGGTGCTTACTTTAAGAGCTTCATGGTGAGTACCAGCCCCATTTTTCTAGAAGAAAGGGCACATTCTAGTCAGCAGGAAAAGCATTCAGAAGGTGTGAGCTAGGCTGCTGAGGAGTGTGGCCTAGGAAGACTGGGAGTAGTTGGGGCAGAGTCCCGGGGATCAACTAGAGAGGTGTGGAGGGTTGCATTCTGCCTTGAGTCTGACATTCTTCAACCCTGATCTAATAGAGCACAGCACAAGCATGCATATTATTTGCCATTCTTATCACCAGTTAGACTTTTAAAAATCTCTGTATACAATTACAGTAGAACCTCTACCTGCAACCATAATCCGTTCCGGACATCCGTCTGGAGGTCGAAACGGGTTGCTGGGAGAGGCACCGTTGTGCACGGGCAGCGATTGCCTGCGTCTGTGCATGCACAAACGGCGATCGCTGCTCCTGTGCATGCGCGAATGGTGGCAAACCCGCTGGTTACTTCTGGGTTTGCTGCAGACATTGAGCGAAATGGACGCAAGCGGAGGCGGACGTAAGAAGAGGTTTGACTGTAATCTCAAGACTATGTACAATGTAAAGATAACATACACTGAATAGAAAATCATATAAATCCAGTTTGGTTATCACATCTACAGAGTCATATCAACAGTAAATTGTTCTCCTCCTAACAAGCAGGATGTGAATTGCCAAATAAATAAACATCTTTCTCCTGACCTTGTATTTAACTACAAGCATAAACTGTGTCCACATGTGCACAACACAGCCGCAGCTGCTTCCTCATGCACTTCATATATGGGACAAATGTGAGACTTTGCCATTCACTTGAATGCCGGAGGTTTGTTCCATATGCACACCTCATTCCACCATCCAAGTTAGAATGCTTTTGAGTCTGGGTCTGTAAAAATTACAAATGTAGATTCCAAAACTGCTGCATTAGTGCATCAGATTGAATGGGAACCGTTTCATGTGGGAGATGTGTTTGAGGGCAGCCGCTTGCCACGTGGAGCCTCAGATATTTTCTGTGCTTTCACAAACCTGCAGGAGGGAAGTTTGCAGAGCTGTGGGGAAGATCTGAAATTTCAAGCGGTGATTATGGCTATGTACACATTTGCCCATTTGTGGTGAGAAAAGGTAGTTTTTTTATCAAGACACAATTGTTCATGCTTTTCCTCAGTGTGCTGCTTTTGATCAAGGTTTGGTTCCAGATCCTGCTCTCCACAAGGATGGGTGTGGTTAGTTGATATGTTTGAAAACCCATCCCTTAATTAGATTAGCCAATTACACCTTTTCCTCCACGCACCTGCCCTGGGTGAAGGAAGAGGGAAGTGGTAATCACAATCTTGGTATATGTCCATCTGCAATGTCATTGGTCAGATGTGGATATGCCACATTGCTGGAGCTGCCTTCATTAGTTTTCAAATGGGCACACTGTTAGGTGGGCTAGGGGGTAATATAGAATCAATCTGCATTGAGCTTTTATTTTTGGAATGAAAAAGCAATTTCCAGGAGCAATTAGAGCAGTTGGGCAATTAGAGCAATTAAGGGATGGGTGCAGTGTGTGGACTAGGTAGAAAAACAACACCGACAAGATTCAGTAGGTATTGACTGTAGCATATAATGTTGCTTGTAAGCAGCATTACAGGAGTAGACTATTTCAGAAGCAGGATAGCCCAATACTCATGTTCAATTGTAGCTGATATGACAGAAGATCAACCCCCCCTCATCATTTTCCTCCTAATGCAAGGCAAATGAGCTAGTTGACCCTTGTCAGCTGTAGGAGGCATATCTGTTTTTCCTTCCATCCTTTCTTCTAGGTCAGCAGACTGAAATGTGCCACTTCTACACATCTTTACTTAATTGTTGAGGACTCTTATTGGCTGCAGGATTGACAGATTGTGCAATATGCCTTTCCTGTGCCTTAATTGGACCTGTGTTACTGACCTTCTATAACTGCATATACATGCAGGTTAGATGTTCCTATATTGAGTTAAATCTGTCCTGGATTTTCCTTGGAGATGTAGGTGGTAGAATGAAAGCATATTTTCCACCATTCTGAGTTCAGAGCAGGACGTGTTATTCAGCTAGACCACTGACTGTTGTGTATATATGGCCACTATGTATGGGGAAAGAAGTCCTGAGGAAATGGAAAGCATAATAAATTAGCATTCCTGATGTGACCTGAGTGGTGGGCAAGGTTCCCTCAGAAACTTGATTTCTAAAGAAAAGATTTGGAGAGAGGTTTGCCTAATTTTGCTATCATCCACCTTGGCCTAGCTTAAAGTGTCAGTGGGTCTCTGCCAGCTGAGCCTTTTCCTGTTGCTTCACCTCAACCTTGCATTTTCATTCAAGAAACTTTCCATTACATTGAGTACCTGAGACCTTTTGGGGGTGCCAAATCATTTTTCCACGGGACATGTGAAATGGCATGAATAATGGGTATTTGTCTTCCTATTCTGGAAAACACAACAATATCTTCTTTCTTGCTGCCCTGGGCTTCTTTGAGGGGAACGGCAGGTCAAAAAACTGAATAATTTTTTTAAAAAATAACAAAACTATTACAGCATTGTTTGTTACTGGCAATTTCTTAACTAATTCTAAGCCCCTATTTCTAAGGAATGCCCTGCCATTAAAAGGAGACAGAGACCTCCATGTAGCAAGAAAAACAAACAGACCCTGATTTATTTTAAGTGTATAGTGTCTCTGAGAATGTCTTACTTTAATCCTAAATCCTTTAATTAGGGTGGCATAATCTTTCTAGTTCCACAAAATAAATATAGCACTTTTGAAAATAAGGCATTGCAAACGAATTTATGATTTGTCAAAATGAGAATATCTGCTTCCCCACCAATGCTAAACATTCAGAATGTCTGTGTGATTTTTTTCACTTTCCTGGCTCCATACCTCTCCTTTGGCTTTTTGTAAAAATACAGGGAAGTGGTTGTTTACGTAGTCAGATGTGACTGTTCCTCCTTGATTTAAAAAAAGCACAACCCAACAACTTTGGAATATTAATTGACAAATCTGTTTTGTTCACTGCCCCTCCCCCAATATGTTGGCTTGCTTATAAAGGTAAAGGGACCCATGACCATTAGGTCCAGTCGTGGACGACTCTGGGGTTGCGGCGCTCATCTCGCTTTATTGGCCGAGGGGGCCAGCGTACAGCTTCCGGGTCATGTGGCCAGCATGACTAAGCCGCTTCTGGCGAACCAGAGCAGCGCACGGAAACGTTGTTTACCTTTCCGCCGGAGTGGTACCTATTTATCTACTTGCACTTTGACGTGCTTTTGAACTGCTAGGTTGGCAGGAGCAGGGACCGAGCAACGGGAGCTCACCCCGTCACGGGGATTTGAACCGCTGACCTTCTGATTGGCAAGTCCTAGGCTCTGTGGTTTAACCCATAGCGCCACCCACGTCCCTGCTTGCATATATATTACCCATTAATAATTGGAATATATGAGTAGTCATGAAACCACAATGAATGGATGCATGTACACTCAGAGCAAAGGAGTGAAGCCATTCCTGTTTGAGGGATCATTGCACTACTGCAGAACCTACACGCCCAGGTGGTTTGAGTTTGACTTCATCCCCAAAGGTACAGTCCTCCATTGTCTTCTGAGACAGATGGATGTCAACAGACTATGTATGAACCTGAAAGTTAGAAAGAAAAACCTGCCAGTAAATTTAGAAGCAGGGTGTCACATCCATTACTCACTGTGTCCTTGTTTATATGCAGTGCTAAGCAAAGTAATTGCTTAGGGTGAATGAGGAAATGGACAGGCTTCTAGAGAAGAGTATATGTCTGTTTTGCTCCTCCCCAGTCGTTCTGTGTTGTGCTGACCTAAGCCATGGTTTAGATTAGCGTTATGTGCAAACCATGCCAGGTTTGCATGTACTCTGCTCCTGTTTGAGTCTGTTTTATTTTTTTCCAAACTTGAGGAAACCAGTCCTTTGAAGCTTTATTCTTCATTCCCAACTTTAACAAAGGGTTAAATATAGATAATTAAACAACTGGCTAACTTACTCTGTTAGAAAGTAGATAAAATAAAGTTTTTATTATCAGCTCATAACAGTAGATGATGGGGGTCACCAAGGTAAGCTGATTGTCGGATGATCAGGAAAGGCAAAAGGATAGACAATGGATGAAGTTTCTGCCACATTCATGAGATAAAAACATTTGTTCTCCTTTAATTTTTGCTTTTCTTTCCTCTCTTCACTACCCAGCTTGAGGTTGCTGGTTTTATGCAGCAGCTTATTCCATAAAGTACTACATATACACTGAAGATGTCATATGCAGAGTAAAAATTGTATTGTACTCCTAATTCCTGACATAGTGGAAGACTAGCTGGGTAGTCATAACAATGTGCTTTATTTTTAATTTTAGACAAACAGTTAATTTCCTGAGACTGTCTCTTGCCGCTCCAAAGAGATTGGCCTATTGTATTAGTTTTCTAATTGCAGAATTTGGTGGAGGCTGTTGACTTTAGCAAGAGATGTGGTTATAGTATGGGACCTTCAAGGTACGCATGGTGTGATACTGTTGTAAGGAATATTCTCTACTCCATATTTCTGGTGGTGGTGTGTTGATTAAATTGCAAGTAAGCTCACATCGAGGGCAGAGCATGTCTTTTCATTCATTATTCTCAGGAACTTGATAAATGCACAGAATGGATTTCTCAGTTGCGGAGTTGTGGTTGTTAGCATTGCATGAACATTCTAACCCTGTTTAACTGAATTTATCTATCATGGTACTACTTATGGGTTTGTTGGCAAGTTGAAAAATAAAGCATGACTGAATTGAACTGTAATGCAGACCCTGCTTCTGAATAATCATATGAAAGAATAGGCTAAGGGCAGATTTCCTGGCTGTGGTTTTTGAGTGATAATTACTACACCATTTGGCAGCTTAGTTATATGAAATAGGTATTACTGAAAGTGTGTGCTTTGCCATTAATACAGAATTGGATGACCGAGAGCGTAATGGGTCGAAAGCATATTGCCGCCTGGTTGGGTGAATCCACTATAAATAGCATTCTTAAAAATGGAAATCATCACATGTATGTTCAATCTGTTTCTCTTCTCTTTTTGGTAGAACCAGCTCCTTTCGAAGGGCTTGCTGTTCATGGAGGAGAAGGTTAAACTTTGTGAAGGCAAGTATAGAGGGGCTGCTGCACTTCAGAAAAGGGCTCTGGGTTCCCTAAAAGCCCTGTGAGTTATCTTTTCAGGCTTGGGTCACTTAGGTGGTTTTGTGGAAAAACCAACACCTGTGAGTCACATGACTAAATATTATAAGGTCCTGTTCTGTACAAGCAAGAAACTGAGCCCTGATGATAGCACAGAGTAGAAATTGAATTGAAGGACTTCCGGGGTGGCGCCACCAGCAATGGCGGACTCCCTCTGAACTGGGGGACTAGCTCCGCGGAAAACGGGTCTTCTCCGCTACGGCGAAGCGGGGACCCTCTTAAAAATCACAGGCGGATGAAGCCTGTGACCATGGGACTCGGCGGGCACCTTTAGCGCCCCCCCAACCCGCTAAGGAACCCACTAACGGGCTCCGAAGTGAAGAGGGGGAAGTGGTGCGGTGCTGTGAGTCAACTGCTATTTCCGTGGAGTGAAGCCGCATAGCCGTTGCCGGAGAGCGCTGCCTTTTTCCTGGGACAATTTGGACTTTAAAATAAGCACCCGTGAGTACTTAGACTTTGAACAATTGGACATCAAATAAGGACTTGCGAGCAGGAAAGAATTGGACTTTAAAAATTTACTTTAATTTAATACGGAACGGGAAGGTATAAACAGGAAGTCAGCCTTCCGTTCTTTTGTAAACAGAATAAAGCAAAGACAATTGAAACTAGAGCTCAGAAAATCGTTTTTAAAAGATTGGATTTCACCATTTAAAATTGTAGAACCCCCCTTCGACAGCAGGAGAGGGGGGGATCTTTTTGGACTGTTTAAAGTGACTTTAAAGTGAAGTAACTTTCCTCCGTCCTGATCCTGGAGCGGGGTGTCAGGACTGACATTTGAAGTTCATTGACCAAAGACAAGTGTTGTTGACAGATAGCTAAAAGAAGAGAAACCTAGTGATTCCACTGTTCCCTTTCGCATTTTAAAGGAATATATACGGACAAAGTATATTAAAAAAGGAAACTTTGTTGCAAGAACAAATAGAAGTCTTCCCCCTAGGGGGAGTCTGTGAAACTGTAACTGTGAAGCTGTAACTAACTCCAGGGAGCTGGCAGCAGTTACAGATTACAACCGTGGGAACAGGCATCTGACCTTGCAGGACAATGTACTCAGAAGCCTTGTTGTGTGCTCTCTATAAAACAAATGCCCTCCTGGAACAATTACATGAGAAGGTGACTTGGATGGCGACTTCGACTAGAAATTTTGAACAGGCAGTGGGAAATTTTGAACAGACAGTGGGAAAATATGTGGAGCCCACTCAGGAATTAAATCAGGAGAGTGTCTTGACAGAACAGGAGTTTTTGACATTAAACCAGGAGTGTGTTTTGACAGAACAGGCCCAACAGGAATGTGATTTTTCGGATTTGACAAATGAACTTGGAAAAAGCCAGATTTGGAAAGCAAAAGTTTGGCTTGGTTTGGAAATGGGGGGCTGGATTGACCCCCCTATGCTGGGACGTTTGGACTTTTCAAATATGGCAACGGGCCGTGAGATGTTTGGGACTGTGGGGGCTCTCAATTTTGGAGGGTCTTTGAAACATGCTTTTAAATACTACATGGAATTTAGTGTTGAACATGGAAAAGGGGCTGATTTGTCGAGAAGGGCTAAAAACATTGTCAAGCTGGAGTTACCACGAGCAGGAGACAAGGGAAAATACAGTTACAAATATGAAGAAAAGCCGCGGAAGGGACATGGAAGAGACTTGAGGGCCTCGGATATAAGGTTGCCAGGTTAATGGGCTAGATTGACGGGAATAAGGACTGACAAAACCCGGAACCAGGAGGAAGGGACGCTGGATGAAGATTGGATCTGTTTGTACCTCTTTTTTCTACCACTAGAACTGTTTTATAAAATTGCTGAATGATAGAAGAACGTTGGAATGAAATTACTTGGCTTTAGCAAAGATGTTTAAATAATTATGAAAGAATATTATGGTTATGAGAAGTTGGTAAGGATAAGATTTAAGTTTTAAGTTTTAAGGTTTATTTTATTATAGAAAGATAAGATCAAAATAGTTTAGGGTAATGCAATGACAGAATTTTATGAAACATGGAAAGGATTTGCTGGGATAATTAATAACTAGGATACAAAGAAAGGGAGGAGGAGGAGGTCTAAGAAAGAAGGCAATGACAGTTAAGGATTTGAAAATAATGAATTTGTTTTTAAATGTTTTTAAAGGTTTGTGATTTTTGTATTTTTCTTTTTTTCTGTCATTTTTTCTTATTTTTAATTTTTTCTCATGTGGGAAGGGGTTTGTTTTTTTTCCTTTTTCTACTTTGTCAACTATTTTTATTTTTTGTACTTTCTTCTGCTTCTATTTTATTTTTTTATTTTTTGTAACATTTTGAAAATTTCAATAAATATCCTTTAAAAAAAACAACAGTAGAAATTGAATTGGAGCACAGAGGAAGTAACTTTTCCTCTTCCTAAAAGAAAAAAAGCTAATACAAATAATCACTTATAAAGTGGGAATTATTACATATAGCACTTGTTCATGGACCCACTTCTCTTTGTCCTTATTGTCTTGCTCACATCTAGATTAGATCACTCAATGTGGTATACATGGGGCTGCCTCTGAAAGTGGCTTAGGAACTTTAGCTGCTACAGAATTCAGCGGCCAGGACCTTTTCAACTGGGTGTGCTATTGTTTTTGTTTGCTACTATGTTGAGTAATTTTCTGTTTTTATATGGTAAACCACCCTGTGATCCTTGGATGAAGGGCAGTACAGAAATTCTATAAAATAGATAAGTAGTGGTAAGGTGAATCTTGTGAATTCTGGATTTCTAGCTGGCAGTACCGTGGCAAGATATTTCTCACATCTTAGCAGAACAATTAACAGAACGATCCCTTGTGCTAGGCTGTCAGGGAGTATTTGGGTTAAGCGGAGGCTTTCTGGCTGAGCTGACTTCCCTCTGTCACAGTAAAGCAAGCATCTCTCCATTGGCACCAGCCTCCTCCTTCCATCCACTGAATGTGCAGGCAGCTGAGCAAGCTGAGGAAGAGATCCTTAAAAAGGGCATCCTGAGGGTGGGGAGCAGATGCCCAACATCTGCTCAAATGATGTTATTGGTGCCTGGTCATTGGGCCAGTGATCATTCCAGATCATTCTGCTCCCTCTCCCTTTGCACTGTGACTACTGTGATTTGCTGGACTGTGGAAGCGATGGCGGTCCTGCTGCTCTGCAAAGGGCTGCTAGCAGGAGGCTGTGGATTCTGGATTTCTCTGTTCATATCCTATGATTCAGATGGGCAGTGTGTGACTGTCAAAACCAGGAAGATCTGGGAAGGCTTCCAGTCGTCATGGGATATGGCTTTTTCACAGACATGCAATAAGCTCAGAATTTTTTACTAGCCCACAAAAATGTTTATTAGCTTGCCTGTACACATGTATGTCACTCACTGAAGTCCCAAAAAGAGAAAAATAAGAAACTATTCCTTCTAGTTTTGGTTACCAGGAGGCAATTGTGACTTGTCATAGGTAAACAAGCGAGATTCAATTATGGGCCTGCTTTATCATGTATGGCTCTCTCATCTAGTTTCTTATCACTTGGATCTGACTGTTCCCAAACCTGCAACGGTAAAGGAAGAAAGGAGCTCCTCAAATAACCTTCTGCAGCTCTTATGCTGAGATTCCTTCTGTTGATTTTTATTTTTTTAGTGGACCGAACCTTCTCCTAGCAAGTAATCAGCAGGCAGATTGGGTGTGATACAGCAGCTCCAGAGTTTGATATGCTGTTTGCTGCTAAAATTCAGCTTGTAAACTTAATTCCAGCTGGTGTAGTCCTGGAGAATGTTGGCTTCCTCCATGGGAAAAATTTCACAACCTGAAGTTTAATTTTGAAAGTAGTAAAATTTTATGTTGAAAAACAGTGGGCCATAGGTTGCTCAGGCTGCAATTCTAAGCGCACTTATTGGGAAGCGAGCCTGAGCTATATTAGGTGGGAATTTGGCTGTAACATTGCAGTATTCAGATCTACAGTACTCAATTTGAGGTCTGCAGTGTAAGTCACACAGTCCCTTTGGAAACCATGTCCATATGTGGGTTAAGCCAGGACATGCATCTATCTGCTTGTACTGCCCTCTGGCCTCTGAGAACATCCAGGAGCTTAAAACTAATAGTTCCAAATTGGAAAGAAAAGCTCATTTTGGCAGCTTCTGGGTGGTGAGTTTCTGAATCACTCACATTTATGTGGAATGCAAATAGTGCCAGTTTGTGGCTGCTGAAACTTATTTTTTGGCAGGGGAAAATGAGCGATGCTTATTTTCCATGGTTATACCAAAGATCACGTAGATGCTCCTTTGCTTTGGCTTGGGCATGTGAACTGAAAAATGTTTGAAAACCTTATAGATGGACCACAGGTATGAAGTTTACGGCATGTAATGCCTTAAGAGAGAATATTATGAAAATGATATACAGGTGGTACATGACACCAGTCAAGCTTGCAAAAATCTATCACTTGCCCGATAATAAATGTTGGAAATGTAAAGAGACTGAAGGTACATTCTTTCACCTTTGGTGGACTTGCCCAAGGATTAAGGCTTTCTGGGAGATGATCTATAATGAAATGAAAAAGGTATATAAATATACCTTCTTGAAGAAACCAGAGGCTTTTCTCCTGGGCGTGGTCGGTCAATTGGTGGCAAAGAAGGACAGAATTTTCTTTATGTATGCCACAACAGCAGCAAGAATACTTATTGCAAAGTATTGGAAGACACAAGAATTACCCACTCTGGAATCTACCCACTCTGGAAGAATGGCAGATGAAGGTGATGGACTACATGGAACTGGCGGAAATGACTGGCAGAATCCGAGACCAGGGAGAAGAGTCGGTGGAAGAAGATTGGAAGAAATTTAAAGACTATTTACAGAAATATTGCAAAATTAATGAATGTTAGAATGATGTCAGAATGAAATTAAGTGGTCTTAGCAGCAATGTTATAAAGGTGTATGTACAAATGGATTGTTAACAGATGAGAATCTAAAGTTATAATATGTTAAGTTAAAGGATTAAGACAAAAACAAAGAGGGAAAGGAATTGCTGAATTAACTAATAGAACTGGAATACAAAAAGGGAGGTGTGAGGAAGTTAGGGAAGTAAGGAAATGAAATGTAAGTTATGGAAAGATCGATGTGTGTTTTTTTTTTTTAAGTGTTTTCTATCTTTTTTCTGTATTTTGCATTTTGTATTTTTTTCTTTTTATTTCTTTTTCTTTTCTTTTTATCTATGTAATTTTTTCTTTGAAACTTTAATAAATATCATTTAAACAAAATAATGAAAAATGTTTGAAAACCTGGTGACCACAGGAGTTATGACATCGGTGGTGAAGATGAGGGCTACTTGGTTAATCAGATGGTGGGGCATTTGATCTTGCTTGCACTGTGTGACATGAAGATGCTTTCCCTGCCCCTTTGAAATACACTATGCTGATAGGATAACAATAGTAGGAAGGACACATTTCTGCAGGGGAATCTCCATACATATGCATCTGTGCTGTGCACCAACTTGGGTTGTGCCTGAAAGTAGTATTTTTGTGCAAGCTGCTGCGCCAACATCAGAAACTAGTTGGAGATGCACATTCATGTTTACATCCCACGGAAAACAAAATCAGGTCCAGATGGGTACCAGTATCAACATTCAGTATCAACGTTCAATGCAAATTTGGATTTACACCAATGATTTTGACCCTGAGTAGATACAACCCACTATAATGGTGATATAGCTTACTATATTCCATGGGTACTGAGTGGTTCTGCAGTTACAGAATATAGGACTGGGTATGATTTAGGGGAGCACCCGAATATTCATGCCCTGAAATCAACAACAAGGAGGTCAGTTCCTCAAATTAAACATTTGCCCCCTCTTTCCCATAAAGTGTTCATGGTTTTAGTTGAAGGCTAACTAGATTTTGCATGACTTTGAGCATTAGGGTCCCGCTTCTAAAGAAATTTGCAAGGTTTTTCTTTCTTTCTTTGCTTTTTACAAAAAGGATAAACCTTGCTTTAAAAGCTTCATATCACCTTTGCCAAAGGCAGTGTGGTACACTGGTTATTTTTGGACCGAGGCTAGCATTTTCCCCCATTTTGCGTGTGAAGACCCCCAGAACCACCCCCAAAATAAAGACACAATAGACATAAAATTTAGTTTAAGGTTTTTGGCATTAATTTTGGCCATAACTTTATTGATTAAAGCATGTGAGTGGTTGCTTAGGCATTGGTTCCAGACTACCTGAACCTGCACAGTGGCAGGAACAGGACCGACACTGGGCACCACCATATGTCAGTAAGGGAAAGCATCCTGGGGGAGCGAGAAGCTGGCTTAGATCTCACAGCTCACCCTAGATGCTCCCAGGGGCTCTGGCATGGCCCTGGCCCCTTGACAGGGTTCGGACAAAAGCAAGGTGATCCCCTGGATTCCTGCAACAGAATTCTCTAGCAGCAGCAATGGAGGGGCAGGCACAGCCAACCACTTCCCCTCCACAAAACATTGAACCAATGCCTAACCACCAACCTTACAAAGTTGTGACGATTTGCTACACAGTCGGCAAAAAGCAAATGGCAACAGCCAATCAGCCTGTAGCAAAATTCCTACTGGGTCCCTGCTTCAAAACAGATGAGCCCTAGACAGGCATAGCAAGCCCAAAGAACAGCCCTAAATATAGGGAGGTTGGGAGGGTGGGAGGGTGATCTGATGCACATTGTAGGAAAGAGAAAGCTCCCAGCAACGTGCAGCAGCTTAAATAGCCCCCTAGTAGCCAATAGATGACACAACAAACCAAATTTCTACCCCAGCATCCAAGGGGCATTCAATGGGGTGTTGTGGCTATCCAAACGGTCCCGCCCCACAACAGGGAGACAGTTTAGGTGATCTCACCACAACACGTGCCCTCCATGATGGAGGACATGATATCTTGGAAGAGGTGGAAACATAAACTGAGCTACAGCTGCCAAGACTTGTCTGCCTTTACAGAGAATTAGGCAATACAGTGGTACCTCGGGTTACATACGCTTCAGATTAAATACGCTTCAGGTTACAGACTCCGCTAACCCAGAAATAGTACCTTGGGTTAATAACTTTACCTCAGAATGAGAACAGAAATTGTGTGGTGGTGGCATGGCAGCAGCAGGAGGCCCCATTAGCTAAAGTGGTGCTTCAGGTTAAGAACAGTTTCAGGTTAAGAACGGACCTCCGGAACGAATTAAGTACGTAACCAGAGGTACCACTGTAGTTGGATGGCTTACTTTGGGTAGAGTATAGCTGAATATCAGAGACCAAGTTCTAAAACAAAGTTCTTTTTCTCCACCCCACCCTCTGTTTGCTTAGAAGAGAATCGCATTGACATACTATCTGAACTCTGGGATCACTTCTTCACAGAGACTCTTCCCACACTCCAGGCTATATTTTACCCTGTTCAGGTAAGTCTAGTTAAAATATAAGCTTGGCAGGGAGGAGAATACAGTTCAGACTTACCACAAACTACCTCTCTGAAAGCTGTTGAGACACCCAACACTTAAACTGTAAAGAAATAGATTTCAGGTATAAACCACAGATTTCTTCAGATGTACTGCCGAACTTAAAGATATATAGAGGAGGTCTTAGTATTCTAATAGGATACAAATTCTGTGTGACTTCAAATGTACCTTAAAACAGACTTCCTCAACCCATGTTTTGAATTGGTTTCCACCAGTTCTAGTCAGTTCAGCTGTGTGTTGCTGAGTATTTTGACCACACTTACATGGGCATACTTGCTAAAACACAGGCAGAAGAAACTTCCAAAAAACAAAGGAGGGCAGATGAGTTGTGAAGATCCTTTGACATCTTTATAAACCTTGATATGCTAATGGAGTGGAACTGTCATGTGGGGCAAATGGTCCATTGACATCTAAACACCCAAGAGGTCAAAAAAGAATGAACCTCTCTGGAGCTTCCTTAAAGGACAAGATTTCTGCACTTTGTAAATTTCCTTTCTGGCTTCCCTTTCAATCCCTTTATAGCAGATGCGAACAAAGTAGATTTGAATCTACTGGTAGATCTCTCGGTGAGTTTCATTCTATTCACAAGTGTTTCTGACTCCCAATTGGTAAACAGATAGAAAGGCCTCTCACCTTCCCCCATAAAAAACCAGATTGCTGAAAAGGAAAAGAGGGTGTGTGTGTATAACCAGGAATGGATTTTTGTGGGAAAGTTCTGGTACTGAAAACAAATTCTGAGGGTGAGCATGTACTTAGACATGCTCTCTTCTTGAATTTTGAGGGTACCCCCCGGTCACACTTTTCCACCTGGCTCCTGTTGGTGGATCAAGTGGCTCCATTACAAAAACAAAGTAGACCCCCCCCAATTTATAGTATACATTGTATATCATTTCCTGTCATTGTAGTTCATATCAAGACATTGCAAATTGCACACACAAAATATATTTTGTAAGAAGGGTAGCTGTGGAGAGAAGGGAGTGCCCATTTCCAAGGCTGGCTCTTCATTTTCTAACCATGGGTTGATTTGCGAAAATGCACATCCAGACAGTTAAAAGGGTGTGCATTTTGCAACAGTTAGCAGTTCAATTTTTCTGCTGTTTGTGGGCTGGATTCCCTCCCCCTTGAGCAGGGGAACAACAAAATTTTTGTTGGCCTCTTACTCAGTTGGCTTCAGCAAAGGACCAACCATTCTATGTATTGTTTGCTTGACAGACCCTAACAATCCTAACTACTGAGTAACTTTTAAATGGGTATTTTAAAATAGCTACTTTGAGATAAGAGGGCAGAGAATACCCAGTCATTCCCTGCTATATTCATTATTCTTGAACTTGAGGGACCTAAAAGATAATATCCACACACACACACCCTATGGTACCCCCAAGGAGTTGAGTCACCTAAATGAGAGACAGCTACCTTGTGAACCAAAGAAGAAATCTTGTCTGGGCATGAGAAGCTTCTGGCAGCATAAATTTCCCACAGAATGAAATTCTTATGAAGGTCACATGCTTCTATGTCTGCCCTTGGCAATCTGGTATTGGATGGCTTATCCCCCCCCCCCACTTCCAGCTCCAAAATATCTACTAGAGGCATGATACAAGCCTCCTACTCAGCCCCCAACCAGGCAATTTCCAAAAGGTCTAGAAGACTGGAAATACTTGCTTTTTGCTATGTAAATACTAACTTCTCATGATGTCTGTATTAATTCTCTCTCTTCCTCCTTTCCTATCCCTCTTTATTTCCCATACTTGCAGCAGATGATAGACGGTATGTGTGAGAATGCCCGTTTTAGAAGGCTATGGTCTCTCTCTTGGTGCTTTTAAAGTGATTTATGTCCCAATCCTTAATATATTAAATGGAAATAAGACTTTTTTTTAAAAAAAGTGAAATGTCTTTCCTTGTAGTGTATTCAGAACTGGAGTGTAAATCAGGTGAGAAGTCAATTTCACCCAGTGGTATACTGCTTTTAAGGTAGACGTCACAATGTGGTTTTAAACAATAAGCATCAATTTAAAAATTATACGACAGTTTTTTTCAAAGTTGGATCCCCAAATGTCATAGAATCATAGTATCAGAGAACTGTAGATTTGGAAGGGACCCCAAGGGTCATTTACTCCAACCCCCTGTAATGCAGGAATCTCAACTAAAGCATCCTTGACAGATGGCCATCCAACCTCTGCTTAAAAACCTCCAAGAAGGGGAAGTCCATCACCGTCCAAGGGAGTCTGTTCCACTGTTGAACAGCTCTTATTGTCAGAAAGTTCTTCCTGATGTTTAGTTGGAATCCCCTTTCTTGTAATGTGAAGCCATTGGTTCAAGTTTTCTCTCCAGAGCAGGAGGACGTAAGCTTGCTCCATCTTCCATGGGATGGCCCTTTAGATATTTGAAGGTGGCTATTACATCTCCTCTCCATCTTCTCTTTACCAGGCTAAACATATCCAACTCCCTCAACCATTCCTCATAAGGCTTGGTTTCCAGACCCTTGATCAACTCCCACCATCCCTCAACATTGGCTACGCTGGCTGGTGATGCTGGCAGTTGTAGTCCACCACCATCTGGGGACCCCAAGGCTGAAGAACACTGTTCTACAATAAAAATGTTTTATTACGGAGTCTGCCAAGCCAAAGTTTTTGAAAGTTTGAGAGCTGAATGGTGGCACCTAACCAGGCAGTTCTTACTTCCTATTCATGGCAATATGGTTCTTCAGAAACCTCAGTGTTGGGATGGAGGTACCACCTTAGGTGGGAGCTAGATACTATCAGCCCCCTTGAAACATCCCTCCAGTCTGAAGAGGATTCATTTATGAGAACACATCTGAAAATAGTTTTCCAACCAGCTCTGAATCCACCTGAAAATATTACCACTTAGGTAAAGGGACACGGGTGGCACTGTGGTCTAAAACCACTGAGCCTCTTGGGCTTGCCAGTCAGAAGGTCGGCAGTTTGAATCCCTTGACGGTGTGAGCTCCCATTGCTCTGTCCCAGCTCCTGCCAACCTAGCAGTTTGAAAGCATGCCAGTACAAGTAGATAAATAGGTACGGCTGTGGCGGGAAGGTAAATGGTGTTTCCGTGCTCTCTGGCTTCCATCACGGTGTTCTGTTGTGCCAGAAGCAGTTTAGTCATGCTGGCCACATGACCCAGAAAGCTGTCTTGGCCTGAAAGCAAGATGAGTGCTGCAACCCCAGAGTCGCCTTTGAGTGGGCATAACTGTCCAGGGGTCCTTTACCTTTTTTACCTTTTTATTACCACTTAGTAATACCATTTACCTATTTAGTTATGGGGCAACTTGTCAAGTACTTGACTTACCGGTATATAAAGTTTAAATATGTGAAAGCTTCATAGTGACTTTTCTCAAGTTATGTCATACCACTTCCCCCCTCTCTCATCTTTCCTTCATAAAGGAATGATAGTGTAGAATCCTGTAAAACCTTTGCACCAACACTTTGCTGTAAATGAGATCTTTCATCAGGATCTCCTTTCCCACAAATCATTCAATAAAGGTTTTGATTTCCTTAAAACAACATGGCCAGCCAAACATTAAATTTGGTTCAAGATTCGAATATTTATGTAATCTATAAAATAGAATTCATTATTAATTTTAAACTTTGTTTCTGTAAATTCATGTAAAGTCCAGAGTTAAGCTTTTTGAACTCTGTACTTTTTGGGGGAGTGGAAGGAATACAATTGAAGTCTCTGGACTTTCCCCCCATTATTGTGTATGTGTGTTAAAGGCCATTCTGAGTTATATGTGCTTTTAAAGCAAACATAGTTCATGGCAGAACTTGAAAGCTTTCCAAAGCCTCTTCACAAGTCTAACTTCACAATGTTTACTTGGAAATAATTGTTTTGCCAAGTTGGTTCCTGAAAATGGACTAGAGAGAATGCCAAGTGTTTGTAACACTGAATGATATGAGGAAATAGACTCTATGAGGGAAAGAGGCTCTAGGGAGATGCTTAATTCTTTTCCAAACACTGATCCTTCCTAGAAAGTTCCCCTTTGTTCAGATACATTATCTCCCACGCCCCACTTCCAGCTAGACTTCCAACACAGAAGCAGTAGAAATGGTCTTGGACAATTGGTGCATTGCAGGTAATAACTGATGTGTGTGCATGTTTGTGCGAACCACTTATGACTTCCCCATTCTGTTCTGCAAATGGTCACATATCCCTGCATTCCTGTTATCTCAGCAATGGATTGAAGACACCCATTTGCAGAGGTAACACTTAAACTTCCATCCTTGGTAAGCCCTGTCATTGATTTAATATGCGAATAAGTACATTTTCACAGCAGGTTAAATTTGCAAGATAAACTATGTGCTTGATTTAGCTTGTTTACACTTACAAAGCTAATGCTGCGACCCTGCAGAATCTCATACTTTCTACAGCTTTATCTTGTGTGCCCATAAATACCTGCTCTGATACCCAAAGGGGGCAAAGCATTTCTTTGGAGCCATTGGCTTTTGTTCCTATTTTGCATTTTGATGAAGATGTTAGCTGCATCATTAACCACGTTATGAATTGATGATTAACAAACGTGGATTCCCTCCAGCCAGAGATTTGCTTCAGTGGTTGCAGAGCGGTTACCTATATAACTATTCCCATGGAGAATATAGGGCACAGTTTAACTGGGTTGTGGCATGTGGGGGTGGGGGAAGATAGATTCATCGCTGCAATGAAGCATTGGGAGTTGCTTTGAATCTCCTTATTTTCTATTTTATTGTTTTTATACTGTTTTATTGCACTGCTAAACATTGTTTTAATGTTATTGTTTGTTTTTATACTGCACAAAATTTAGATATTTAAAAATATTCAGCAGTTCATAAATGCCATTAAACAAACAAACACTAGGAAAGCTACCACTTGTAGAATAATTTACCTGCTTGTGTAGGAAGTCTTCCTTTCCCCAGATTCTTTAACCAGCCACTGTAAATACCTCTCCATCCACATGCCTGTAGTGGCTAGGTTTATAACTTCATGTGACCAGTCATATGCTGCATTATGTTCTTTGTCCCCCTTCATTCCCCAGTTCTTACATAAAAGCATAAAATTAACCCCTGGCATTATTTACAGCTGCTCTGAAATTGGTGGCGGATGGAGTTAAATGTACCCCAGCGCCAACAGCTACTAATTCCCCCACTGTTTTCTGAATGTGTGTACAGGGCCAAGAATTGACTATTCGCCAGATTGCGTTGCTCGGCTTCCGAGATTTGGTCTTACTAAGAGTGAATTTGGATGAGATTCTTCCTCGGGTCCAAACCAAGCTTCCACCTTCCATTGTCCAGATGCTGCTGATTTTACAGGTGGGGAGCAATGCGTTTCTTCTTATCATATGTGCCTTGTTTAATGACTAGTGAGTAGGTGGCCTGGAGAGGTTTCTGTATACTATGAAGAAAGAAGAGAACCTGTGCAGAGCAGAAAAGTGCAATTGAGCATTTGCTATGAATGACATAGACTAAGGCTGCTGTCCTAATCCCACTTACCTGAGAGTAAACCCCATTCAATTAAATAGGACCTACCTTTAAGCAGACACAAATAAGATTGTGCTGTAAGTTACTAGCTACAAAACCGTTTAGTAAAGGGATACCAATAAGCAGATTTTGTCTTTCATCTGAACCAACTAAGACTATACCCTCTGTTTTATCAACTATCTTCCTCCTCATTTCCCTGTCTCACGGGGGGGGGGGGGGAGAGAAAATCAATCTCTGGTACTTTTTATGCATCTGATGATGAAGGATTTTACCCTCAAACCCTTACAGTTGTTTTCATTAAGTACCATAGGATTTTTGTTTGTTTGTTTGTTGCATTTTCTCACTTACTTTACTCTGGATAGCTTAATCATGTTCCCTGTTCTAACTTCATAGGAGGATTGTTCAACATTTATTCACTCTCTTATTTCCCAGGCTTACACCATCCATTTTGTTGCCTCTGTAGCAAGCACTTAAATTCATTTTGGTGCAGCTGCTTGAAAAGCTTGCACCACTCTACTTGTTCAGCCTTAGAGGGCTTTTATTTATTTATTTTAGCAGAACAGGTTTTCCCTTGGGGCAAGTCCTATTCAACCCCATTGACCCACTGGATCTTATCCATCTTCTAGGGTGTTCTGTTAAGTTACATTTGCATACCAGGTTCGGTTGACCTGGGCATTCTCAGCAGTGGGTCCTTTTTACCTCTGATAGCTTACCATAGCCTGAATCTGCAGAGTTATAGAAAGAGGTGTACATCTGCAAAGCATTAAGTATTTTTGAACTGCTCCGAATGGTTGTCTTAAGTTTTTCAAATTCTTAACAGTACTGCATTGTAACATATATCAGGTGGCCAGACATCACCAACAGTGAACTGAGCGCTAACAGTATGGGAGCCAAAATGGGGTCACTGAGAAACAAGTGGGGTGTGACTGCAATGTTGGAGGAACCCTGAGGTTTGCAGAAGTACAAATATTTCTAACCCCAGCCCTCCTTCAAAAAGATACCCAAGCCCAATGATGACTGAGCATATTCAGGAGCTGCAGAAAGCTGACTGTCCATTGGAATACAGAAACAGAAAACCAGGCTATGAGGGGAATCGAATGGCTTCTTTGAGCCATTTATGGAAACTTTATAGTATCCCGAAGAGGGTTGGCTGGAATGCTGAAAGCAACCTGCATTTTGTTGCAAGCTCCATGCAGGATAAATAATTATGTAACAGGCTCTTTTTTCTTCATTTCCACAACTTTTTCCTGTGTGCACAATTATATTTCTTCTGAAAGTATTGTGAAAGAAATATATATGTTCATATGCATATCTGTTGGATGCTTTTTTGTCACAGGGAGTACATGAACCTACAGGTCCCAGTAAGGCCTTCATGCAGTTGGAGGAGCTTGTTAAACTCGTGGTCTCCCCATACCTCGGTTTGTGCGAAGAACACTGCTTCCCTGGTAGTACGTGTGCTCTGGGTAAGATGCATTGTATTGCAACGCCATTCGAGTTTCTTTCCCCCCAAGATCCCTTCTTAAACCAATGTAACTTGCATCTGTGTTGGTCAATAGTTTGCTTGAGGGCTGTGCAAAAAGAATATTGGTACCCAAAATGTGTGTTCTCGTGTTAGTACTGCCTCTGCATTGTTGCAGAACATGTTTGACCAGAGACAACACAGTGTGACAAAAGAACTGTACATCAAGAGTGTTGCCTCTCACATACCACTTGCAACTCTCTTTAAGAAAACAACAACTATTGTCTGTCAGCAGCCAGCATGGTCTAATTAATATGCAGCTTTGTGCAAGACAGAGATGGGAGAATAAAAGCTTAAATCATCCCTGAGTAGATACCAATCAACGAAGCCTTAAACATAATTAGTTTGTATGGAAACAGCCTTCATTTTTTTCCTTCTTGAGTCTTACCAAGTGATAATGAGAGTTCAGTATTCACAACCTGGTTCTGCAGGTGCTTAAAATCTGATTTTTTTTAAATGGTAGCTGAAAAGCATCTTGCCACATATTATAGGTTTCTAGTTTAGTTTCTTTCCCTTCCTTTATCCTGCAAGGGAACTTGCCAAACACCCATTGTAGTAGTTCTTTCCGGATCCACAAGCCCCTTGTTTCCACAGCATCATCAGACACCTGTTGCCAATGTTCTGCTTGATCACAGGGTTGTTAGTTTGACAATGTCAACTCTATTGGAATTGTGTTTTTCAATCACAACTACTTTGTGCTGCTCTTCCCAGTGCCCAGGGCTATGTTGTAGGCAAGGAAATGGCAATAAAGTCAGATTAGCACTCCCCTTAGTACAATACTGTCTAATACCACCGCTAGCCAGTGTGTCCCCTCCCAATAGTTTCCATCATCCCTGACCATTGGCCATGCTGGCTGGGGCTGAGTTGCAGTCCATAACATCAGGAGGGCTCCCCCAATCTCTATGATTTCTGGCTTTCCCAGCTCTGGCCATCACTGGACAAGGAATGTTTGAAACTGGCATCTTGTCAAAAAACACGTGTTCCCTTTGTGTTGTGATTCCTGTAGCTGTGGGGCCACATCCTCGTCTTTGGATGTAATCTAGTGTGTGTTGTGTAGTTCAGTGGACATGACCCTTTGCCTCTCAACTCCTCCAGTTCTAATCTGTATTTCCCCTTCCTTCTGACAATCATCTTTGTTTCCTCACCTGTCTTTTCAGCCTTACATTTAAACCAGGGGTTGGGAACTTGCAACTCTCCATATCTGGGTAGTCCTTCAGATCCTGTCATCCCTGGCCATTGACCATTCTGACTGGGACTGATGGGAGCTGTAGTCCAGCAACATCTTGGAAAGCCACAGGTTTCCTATCTCTGTTGCAAATCAGGATTACTATGTAAAAGAATCATAGATTCGGAGAGTTCTTAGGCAACTTAGGCACACTGTATATAAATAGCTGGCATTTTATTTGTTTAAATATATGCTGCCCTTTTAAAAGTCAAAACCCTCTAAAGGTGGCTTCTATATATGCATAATGCAATGCAGTTGCCTATCCAAAAATAGCCACCGACTTCTATTGGTAGTGGTGGGCATGTAGTCCGGGCCTCTGTTGGTCTCAAAGTGTGAGCAGCTTGGAATGGGTGATTGTATATAACCCACATGGCAAAGCTTCTTTGACATCCTATGCATGCTGAGAACAAGAGCTTGTAGATCGGACCAAATGCCTATCTAGTTGAACATCTTGGCCAACCTGATGACACCAGGAAGCCCACAAGGGCAACATAAACAGAACAGCACTCTCCTGCTGTTGTTTCCCAGCAACCTGGCATATAGAGGCATGCTGCATCTGATCCTGAAGGTAATGATATAGTCCATCATGACCAGCAGACATTGGTAGCCTTATTTTCTATGAATTCATCTAATCACTGTTTAAAGTTGTCCACTCTTGGGGTTCTCCTTCATGGATCACTGCCTTGTCATGGCGAAGGGGCTTGAATAACTCAGAGAAGCTATGAGTTATGCCATGCAGGGCTGTCTGGAGAGGTCATAGTGGAGAGTTTTGACTAAACTTTCTTGGGTTCCATGATCACTGCAGATGGTGACAGCAGTCACAAAATTAAAAGACGCCTGCTTCTTGGGAGAAAAGCAATGACAAACATAGACAGCATCTTAAAAAGACTGCTGGATCAGGCACCTGTTTTCATAGTGGCTGACCAGAGGCCTGTGGGAATCTGTAAACCGGACTTGAGTTGTCTCCCTTCCTGCGTCATCATCTTCCTTAGATTAGGGAGACCAGCAGCCTCTTCTCCACACCATGTACATTTTTGTTTATCTCTATTCTGTCTTTTCATTACTAACATTTCTCCCATAAACCCAATACCCCCAAAGATTGCAACTTTTTCTCATAGGGGAGTTGTTTTGAGCACAGTATCACTTCTGCACTCTCAAAAGTGAGTCCAGCTTTCCTCAATAAAGCTTACTCTCTAGTAAGTTTGTTTAGGGCCAGTGCTTTTTTACGCACACTCCTAAACATTTTGTGAATCTAAGTTTGGCCTCATTGAGGGGCAGTATTTCAATATGAGTGGGAAAATGAGAGTACCCCTAAACATCATCATCATCATTATTATTGGAAAAAAGCACTGTTTAGGGCTATTCCCAATTTTAAATGGGGCATTACAGGGCCAAGAAGAGGAAATGCATGTATGTTCTGTCAGTTCTTTCAGACTGAGAGATTCTATACAGCAGCACTTATGGAGAAGAGGAGAAGGAAATAAGTTGGAATGGGAAAGTGATTGATAAGCAGCATAGAAACTTTTTTGAACATAGCATTCCCCTGAGTATTCAGTCATTGGTCTAATGCACCCAACTTTTGTATAGGACTCATGAGTGTGATTCCTATGTTGATTCCTATTAGTTCAAATTAGAGCTATGTTGCATCCTCCTTTGCCCATGCCAGCTGATATTCCTTCCTTGAGCCACCCTCTCCCACTTCTGGGTTTTGCCAAAATCGGTTAGGGTGGAAGTTCCACTCTGGATATAGCTGCATGGTCCAGTCTTTTATCTGAAAGGAAAGCCCACTTAGTTTAAAGCCAACATGGTGTTCTCCAGAACTTGCTGAACTATAATTCCCATCATTCTTTATCATTGAACATACTGTCTGGGAATTGATGAAAGCTATAGTCCAACAATATCAGGAAGGCATCACGTTCGCTGTCTTTGGTTTAAATTGACTTACTTCTGAATAAACAGTCTTTGATTCATCATTGTTACCATTTGGTTCTTCCTTAATAAATATTTGTTAAGAACAACAGGCCTGAGAGACATGGGCTGATCTCTCTAGAGCAGAGCTTTCCAAACTGTGTCATGACACTTTGGTGTGTCGGCTGCAATGTCTTGGTGTGTCGCGCAAATGCTCTTATAAAGGGCTAGTTTAATCTCTGGTTTGCTAGCAAAACTGAACTACTGTGTCACAAAATGATTGTGTCTAATAGGTGTGTAACCAACATGAAAAGTTCAGAAAGCTATGCTCTAGAGTGTCTGTTTGTAGGACATGCACACCTTATGGAGTTTGCTGCCTGACTCTATAAAAAAGAAAGAGGGCGGTAAGATCATATCTGATTACAGCTGCTTAGGTTTTACACAACAAATACATGCCTTGAGGAAACGAGATGTACTTCTCCCAGTGCAAACATAATCACAGCACAGTTTGCTATTCACAAGTAATAAAATCATGACCCTTCTCCAGAAGGAAAATGATACAAAGTGCATGCAGACTTGCACGGTGCTGAAATTGTTTTGCCTGAAAGTTAGCCACGTGACTCTTGGGAAACTTCTCTGCTATTTTCTTGTCTGCCAATAAAACAAGGGATTGGTGTCATAAAGCAGTTTTATGAACTCAGTGGCCTTGAAAGGACTGTAGATTCAAACCCATCACATTTGCTTTTTGTTTAGAAGTTACGTGTGTGCTATTCACTGTGCATGTAGGTAAATATGCAAAGCACCTGTTTCCCATGTCAGGTTTGTGGGATTGGGATCATGTTTCAACCAGGATTGAGGAATACTATAATAAATGGATATAAGACTTACTAATTTTTATTTTAATGGGCTGTAAAACAAACACTATTGGACACTGTATTTATTTGTAAGAATATTCATAAACCACCAACTCATATAAACATCATGGTGGTGTACAATAAAACTTTTAAAACATCTTAAAATTTTAACATATAAAATGCAGAGCAACTGACTAACATGGAATCAAATTAATTCAACAACACTTGGTGAAATGAACAATTTCAGCAGGCAATGGCATTTCAGAATCATAAGCACCTGTCAGATTTCAACAGGAACAACGTTTCAAATCCATGATGCTAAAAGCCTTCGTTCACTTAGAAACTAATCAAACATTAGATCACAGTGAATGCATTATACTTCCTCCCCCCCACAACTATCAATCTGTACGTTGCTTTGAGACACTTTTTGCAAAAAAAGGTGACTAAAAATTAATAATAATAATAATAAGGCTAAATGAGCCAGCATGAGTTTTGTACTTTTCTATTGCAATTAAAGTATGTGGGTGGAAAAGATCTGATGGGTTGAGGACTGCTTTCCTTATGTTGCCATGCTGCAATAAAAGGGACCGCAAGAGCTTAATCTAGAGACAAAGTGACAACAGAGCTAGACAAAGGCCTCAACTCCCCAACTCCCAATTTCACTGGCATTTTAAGAGACTAATTAGACACTTAAATGATTTCCGCTGACCAGCATCTTCCTTCCTCCCCCATCTCCCTGGTAACAGTTTCCTCAAAGCAATGTGCGATGTGACTTCATTGTTTCCAGTATTTCCTTAACTCCCTGCAAGCAGCCAACAATTGAGTATGAGGATGACACCTCCCCATGTTTCTTTTCCCAGGGGATGCTGGAGGGACTCCTGAGAGACATCATTAGACCCTCAAAGCCATTGACTTCAGCATCCCAGACAGCAGAGTTAAGCAATATCTCCACCTATTGGCAGTTATGAAGGGGGGGGGAATTCCACTCCACTTTTTCCTGAGTGCAGAATAACTCATTGCATTTTGAATGAAAGGCTCAGAAAACTGGTGGTGTTGTATAAATTTTTGAACACCTCAATCCCCGACGCTCAGGCTGTTCTGACTGAGACAGCGGCTGTCAAATAAACTGCATTTGCACGAGCCTAAATGCTTGGAGGAACAAAGGAAACTGGTGCTGAAGACCAAGGTTTTTTCACTGAATTTTCGCCAACCCCTCTTAAAGGGTCACGTTGCGGAAATCTTGGGTAGTGTTCTATGTCTGGACTCTGGAAATCTCTTCTTGTTCCTCTTTGGTTGAGCATATTCAGAGCTGACTTTTTGTTAAGCTTTTGGCAAGAGAGGATGGTATTCAACTAAGTCCTATCCAGAGGAGACTCAGGGAAATTTATGAACCCATGTTAGCCAGGCCCATTAACTTAAGTGGGTCGACTCTGAGTAGGGGTAGCATTTCTTAGTCTGTTCCCCAGCTCCAACACCAAGTTCATTTTGCTCCCCACCCCCTTTCCTTTCCCCACATGATTGCTGGCTTCCAACTTTTATGATGAGTGGATATTTTCTTAATTCCCCTTTCCTTCCACTCAAAAGCTTTTCTGTCTCCCATTCCCTTTTATGGTTTTTCAACTGTTTTATGACTGAGTTATTCATGATCTCTTCTTTGCACAAAGCATTTTCATTTTCTCACTTTTACAGCCTCTTTTTGCTTTTTTATCTTGGTTATATAATGTTTGATGCTTCCACCGCTCTTCCTGTGATCTTGCCTGGATTCGTGGGCTTGTGTGTGAGATGATTACTTCAGTGAGAAGTGATTTGTGGAAATGAGGTGGCAGCTGAAAATGGAAACAAAAAAGCTGAATCAGCTTCATCCCCTCATATTGTTTTCCACCTCTGCTTCATTCTTCTAGTTTGCAGGCCTTTTGCTTGCAGCACCATATTACTAACCTCGGCTGTAACTTAATTCTCTCAGAAACTCATTTGAATCTTAGCCTACTGTGTAGAAGCATCACAGCATTGTACTACATACTGGTTGTCTGTTGTCTGTTTCTCATAGTGTCTGATGTGGACGTGTAGTTTCCTTCATACTTGTATCTAAGTGGCCTAAGAAGAAACCTGTGGCCCTCCAAATGTTGTTGGCCATGGGAGTTGGATTTCCAACATCATCTGAGGGACCAGGGGTCCCTCAGCCTGGCATTAGGCAAAGTAAGGCAACCACCTCAAGAGGCAGATGGCTAGGGTGCAGCAACAGTTCCTGCCTGTTCCTTCTGAGTTCCTCATCTAAGAGGGGTCTGTCCCGTCCCCCCTCTCAAATCTGACCTACTGCCTGAGGTACAGGGAAGAATGCTATTCCACCATTGGTGTTGGAAGGAAGGTGCAGCTGGCATTCCAGTTGGTTTCTGGTTGTGAAAGCTTTGTGAAGACACCATCTTACCATTTGCCTCAGGCTGCAAAATATCCTGAGCCGGCCCTGGGAACTGGATGTTCCTCAGGTGACATTAGTCCTATGCAACAGCATAAGCAACTAACTCAGATAAAGTGAGTGTAATAATTCTGGCACTAGCCAAACAGGAAGTTACTGGTCTTAGCATGATTCCATGCTAATTCTCCCATCTGCCAAAACTGTGGTTCCAAGTTTCACCCTGCTTTTTATTTTTAGTCGCATCCCTTATCTGCTTAGCTGAACCTGTTGATCTCTCTCTCCTTGTTGCTTTAGTCAGCCTGCAGCAATCTGCTGAGTTGTCTGGCCGTAGCAGAAGAAGATTATGGGTGGCTTGTCGTAGTAGTACAGGGCTGTGGAACAAAGCCTGCAGTGTTTTGCTTTTTGCTTGCTCAGTTGCTTCCATTTCGCCATTATTGGATTTTGGAATGCATCACCTTCAAGATACACTTTCAGCTGCTTTTTATCGCTGTTGCTCTAAGTTGGAAGGGACTGTTGGAGGCAATGAGTTGAGACCGCCAAAAAATGAGATACAGGAGGAAACCATTGCAAAATCTAATTTTGAAAAGTGGAATCATATGCTGGCTAGCAGAAAGCATCTATTCGGATGCCTCGTCTTCTCATCTGATTTGAAAAGAACGAATCCAGAAATTTAAATGAGCTTTGGCCTAGAAAACTTGAACAGCATGGAGAGACCTGAGTTTTGTAAGCTGGAAGCTTCTCTATCAAAGTCCATAGAGTTTCTCCAACCATGTTTTTCATAAGCTTCCTGTATTTTGGCTTTACCACAGTGGTCCATGCATGGGTAACTTTAAGGATGTATTACTGCAACACATTCTATGTGACGCTAACCTTGAGGCTTGTCTGGAGGCTGCATAATGTGAAGGCTAGGATGTTTGTGAGGCCAAACTGCCACCAGCATATAGTACCTTGCTAGGCCAAGTTCAACGTTTTAGTATTAACATATAAGGCCTTATATAGATCAGGACCAGGGTACTAGAGAGATTAAGTGTGGATCTAGACACAAGAGGGAAAGAACGCTGTAAATAAGTCAGAAATTAGATCATTATAACAAAAGAAAAAAAAATCTGTATGGAAAATCGTGTTTTAAAATTTCCTGCTCTCTGGTGCAGGAAACGTGTGTTTATAGCATGTTCAAATCACTGTTTCTTAATGTAGCTGAGTCCTAGGTCACTGTGGTCTGCAAGAAAGCTTCTTCTGTAAGTTTCCAAAGATATTGGAAGTCTGTCCCATAGTAACTGAGCTGGGCTATCAGTGTGGCCGTCTGTGTTCTGTGAAGCAGCCATTCCTGTCAAGAAACTATCTGCAATTTCTAGAAGCAACTGAATACATTTTTGTTCAGACAAGCTTCTCCAGCTGGATAAATAGGTTTCTGCCATGGGTGTACATACTGTTTTTTGTTTCTTAAAATGCACAGTCATAGAATTCCTGCAGTGCAGGAATCTCAGCTAAATCATCCATGACAAATTCTGTTGGTATTTTGTGTTTTAAACTGTTTTCAATTCATTTCATTTTGTTTTCTTTTTTCTTTTTACATTACCTTGAGGTATCTATGTGGAAGGCAATTAATAAATAGCAACTGCAACAAGTTCCACAGCAACAAATTGCTTGATTCCATGAGGGGAATCCTGGAGGGGCAGTGCCAGTCTGTGTAGACAGTACTGCGTTGGATGGTCCCAATGGTCAGATTCAGTACCAGGCAGCTTCCTTTTTTCCTGTACAGCAACATCTGGAAGGCTACAGGTTCCCCATCTGTGCCTCACTGACTTTTGAATTTTTTGACCATCAGTAGGGCATTCCCTGGACTAGTTATATGCCATCGTGTGTGTGTGTGTGTGTTGAATTCTGGCAGCTCTCTTGGCTCCAGTCCACTTGCTAGGAATACATTCATGCTTTGGCATCAGCAGGGCAGGTTGCTAGTTTAGCATGGCGGAGGCGTACTTTGCTCATATCTCCAGGCAGTTGCTTTTTGCCGTCATGTTTCCACCCCTGCCCTCTGCCCCATTATTTCAGCCGGTGATAAGTAATTGCTGAAATGCAGCCTTTGCCATGATGGAATGCAGAAATCTGCTGCTCCAGCGGCACCCTAGAACGATTTCTTAGCGCGGACAATGAACAGATATTCATTTCCAGCTGAAAGGCCGGGAGGGGAAAGAGATGCACGACACAGTGACAACTGGAGGAATATCTTCCCTTTGCTGCTCAGAAAGATAGACTGCATTCCAGACAATGCTGCTATCAGCCTCGCTGTGCGCAGCTTTTACCGTACCAGCGGGAGAGCCTCTGCGTGGGAGTGAATGCTGTAACCTTTGTGTGTGTGTGTGTGTGTGTGCGAAGTCAAAGTGCAGTAGACGTCTTATGATTCCACAGCATCAGTTATTGATGCTGGAAAGCAAAGTATTGCTAGTGTCTCACTTCATAACCCTTCATGGAGAAAAGGGCAAGTTCTCCCAGGTTCAGTTTGAATTGGGACCAGCAATTACAAATGACAGCAGGGAAAAACTCAAAGTACTGTATTTTTCAGTGTATAAGACTAGGTCTTTTCCCTTAAAAATAATGTCAAAAATTAGGGGGTGTCTTATACATGGATGCATCTCCCCCCATTTTCTTAAATCTGAGTCCCCCAAAATAGGGAGCGTCTTATACATGGGGGCATCTTATAGACAGAAAAATACAGTAGTTGTTACCACCCCCATGCTCTGCCTTGAGCTCCCGAATCCCCTTATCCAGTAGTCACAGCTCTGGCCAGTACTGCACACCTGCCTTTTCTCCTGCCAGCCCAGAATAGGGAGGGAGGCTGGAATCTCTCTCCTTTCTGTCCTCTGCCCAGTGGGAAATACAGTTGGAAGCACTGAGAAAATGAAGGCTGTGTACACAGTAGCAGCTTAAAACTCAGCAAGTTCACTCCCCCTTGCTGCATTTCAAGTCGCACGGATGGGACATTCACCACAGTGGGATGTTGAATTCTGCACTAAGGCTGTGATCCTAGTCGCACTTATCAGGGTGTAAGCCCCATTGAATTCAGTAGGACTTACTTCTGAATAGTTTTAGTTAGGATTGCGCTGTAAAACGGTAAAAAGGACTGAACAGTAACTTCATAGCCTTGTTAAAATAGGAAAGCTTTATTCCAGCTGCTAAATATCATTTCATAAAATCATAGAATTGTAGAGTTGGATGGGGTCCAGAGGGTCATCAAGTTGCACCCCCTGCAATGCAGGAATCTCAACTAAAACATCCGTGGGAGATGGCCACCCAACCTCTGCTTAAAAACCGCCAAGGAAGGAGAGTCCATTTAATGAAGAGACTTCATCAGTGTGTAGGTAGAGAATTTCAAAGATGAGGTACTGCCTTTCAAATGACCCTCCCATGAGACACTCAGGAGCTGTGTTAGAGCTTTTAAGGGTTAACAACAACAACTTTATTATTTATACCCCGCCCATCTGGCTGCGTTTCCCTAGCCACTCTGGGCGGCTAACAGCATATATAAAACATAGGGAAACATCAAACATTAAAAACTTCCCAATACAGGGCTGCCTTCAGATGTATTCTAAAAGATAGGTAGTTCTTGAGCTCCTTGACATCTGAAGAGAGGGTGTTCCACAGGGAAGGAGCCAGTAACAAGCTTGGCTGCCTGTATGGATGTATATTAATAGTTCTCTGTTGTATGTAATAAAAGTAAGAGATGAAAGGGGAACAACTTGTTCATGATTTCCCTGAATGACTTAGGCTTCAATCCAATGGTGTCCATGCATGAGTGGAAAGGACTTCTGCTTGCACAGCAGGACTTCCCCTTCCCCTCCTCCCATGTAACTCCAGTATCTACTTTTGGTGGTTGGGGGACCATCCTCAGCAGATTTAGGGGTGCTGCAGTTGAGAGGAAGGAGAATGAGGCCTACGACATGGGTGAAAGTCTGAGCAAGGCATGCTGGGTTTTGCCCTACCTAAACATGTGAGTAGTCATATTCAAAAGCTATGTATTCTTCTGCCACATTACTGTTAGATACCGTGCCATGTAATCTGTGTTGATCTTTGTGCAGCTTATTACTTCATCAAACTGTGTATGTGAAACACATTACGTTAACAATGAAAAGAATCAATAAGGATTTTGCTGGAAAGAACTGTGGCTGGGAGTCTATTTTAGTGCAAAACCCAACTGATGTAATGTTTTGCACAGGTAGTCATTGGTTACAGGGAAAGAAAACATTGCACAACCATGAGAGCACTTACTTTAGATAATTTAGACAAATTCATGGGGAATAAAAGGTAATGACTGCATGAAGAATACACCCTTCATGGCTATATTACCTCCAGTACGGGAGAGAATATTTTATTTAAATATTTTAAATTCATCATCATCATCATTTTTAATTTGTATACCGTCTTTCTATCTTACAATACTCAAGGTGGTTTACAAGCTGAAGAAACAAATAATGTACATCTTATAACAATCTAATGCCATACAAAAATGTGATAATAAAACAAAACTATAAAATAATAATATCAGCATATAAAAGTTAAACAGAAATCCACTCAACAGTTACACTAAATACTTTCTAAACTATAATTAATAAAACAACAGCAGGCCACAGTACATAAAATAATACAATACAAATTGAGAAGCAGCGACTAGAGGGTGGAGCAAGGCAGGTGGAAGGAGGCCTTGCCTGTCAAAGTCTCTCCCATCTTCAGCCAACAAAGTCTCAGATCGCTCAAAAGGCCAGCCCCTATTCTCAGGCTTACAATCTATGAAAAAGACACAGCACAAAAGGAAAACGGATTGGGAGGTAGGTAGGTGAAGATCTTAGTTACAAATTTCTCTAATGACCAACTGCAGTGGAAGGGTGCCAACAGAGCAGGTGTCAAAACTTGCTGCTCTCTCGGCTGTGTTGACTGAGTGGCCCTGCACACCTTTCCCCCCCCCCCCCCGTCCTGCAGCCTGATGTAATAACTGCTGCCAGGTGAGTAGTATGCCTCTGAAGACCAGTTCTTGGGGATACTAGTGGGAGAGTGCTATTATGCTCATGCCCTGCTTGTGGTCTTCCCATAGGCATCTGAGCAACTAGGTTGGCAGAAAGGGTGCTGGACTAGAAAGGCGTTTTGGTTGGTTGCAGCAAGACTCTTCTTATTTGTGTTCTTAGGGCTACAAGTTGAAATGGAATTTTTAGGAAATCTGACCTCTCTTTAAATCATACAATTCAGACTTTGGAGTCCTAATTTGACACGTTTTCATGTTCAAATTTCAGAAACTAAACTTTGATTTCAATTTTTCAAATAACCACCAGGAAATGGATTGAAGGAAATGTTTCCCAGGTGCATTAGGTTAGTATGGATATTACTAAATGCTTAGGTGCACTTTGCCATGCAGATACTGGTCTGGCTGGGACAAACTTCCCCATTTTTTTTCAGCTATGGTTTATGAAGCTAGGAAGTAACACCAAGGCATATATTGTGGTTCAGTTGCTGCTGATAAAAGAGAGTAAGTCAGGCTCTGATCCTGGCTTATTGGTTTAACTGACATTAAGGTAGAGTTTCCCAGTTTGGATGCAACAGACAACTGAAGGCAGCATGCAAGGGGACAGATGAGGGTGGAGTACTTGGTCCCAATCCTTGTTTTTAGCTTCATAAACCATGTTTATTGTTGTCAGTCAAATACTTGCTATCAAAATTTAGAGATGGTAATCTGGAAGATTTTTGGGGGGTGGTGGTGGAAGGGGAATGCAGGCTAGTTTATTCAGTACTCTTTAACAACCTTTTATATTTGAAATTAGGGTGGTAGTTGAGAGAATAATGGCATATTAGCTTGGAATTGAACTGAGCTTCAGAAAGCTTAATTTTGGTACAAATAACATTGAACAAAAATATTAAAGATCCAGGATAATTTTATCATTTAAGGATACTATCTGAAGTCCCCAAACTCCAGGTCTGCCTGTCCTTAAAATCTCGTGTCTTGTACAAATCAAGTTCACTTTTGTTTTTCTCCAGGGAACAATTTCTGAAGTGTCTGTGGCACAGCATGAAGAATAGTTGGCTGTGATTTTCTCTCTGTGTGCTGATTGCCTCCCATTCATGCTTGCTGGGAATGTGCCAGAAGACTTTAATATAAAGAGCTTTATATTCCTCAACTATTTATTGCAACTTATTGCAGTAATAAAATTTTGCAATAATTATTTTGGCTTGGAGCCAGAGTTCCTGTCAGTGTTACTCTGCTTACAGCACACTGAAGGAAGAAGGGAAGAGGTGACTTTTCCCCCTTTTTTTCTTTGCTGATTCCCCTCTTCTCCCTGTACCCCCTGAAGATCTGCTCTGGAACAGTTGTGGGGAGATGAAGGGGAGATCAGCAAAAAGAAAATGCTCCTCTCTTTGTAGTATGGCACTCCGGATTCAACCTCTTGCCATTATAATCAGCAATAATAATAATAATAATAATAATGCTGTTCTTTTCTAAGCATTGCAAAGTCCAGCTTTAAAAATGCTGGCAGACAAAAAACCAGTGTTTTCCATCTTAGCTTTATGGCAACTTTTACCATCTTCTGCAGATTGAATCTGGCAAGGGAGCGGAGGAGAGAGCAAATGCTTGACCTGGTCCCGAGAGGACTTAGTCCCTCGAGGCTTCATTAGATAACTTAGCCATACCCATGAAGTTGATGCAATGAAGATTACTGAATTGAGTAAATTTATACTAGCTTTATGTAAATCCCTAGGGCTGCTAATGCTGGTCGTTTTAAGCTTAGAGGCTGTTTGCTTATTTTGCGGTGTTAACATTCAAAGCGAAGGTGGATTATGTGGCTTTAAAAACATTGTGCAATATATCACTCTAATACACCCAAGGGTTGGCGTAACATTTCAAGAGATATACAAACAAAGCCTTAGCCAGAGACCTCTTCTCCTCTCAGTGTGTGTGTGTGTGTGTGTGTGTGTGTTGTAATGGACTTCCTCTCCTTCTGTGCCCCCTAATCTGTTATGAGGGTTTCCCTAACTCTGTGGAACAGTTTTGGGGAGTAAAGAGAGGAGAGTTGGCTGCAACCCTCAGTTTCTCCCTAGCTGACAGCTTTCGGTTGCGATTGTTGGCAGTGCTCAGCTGTGTAGTATGACCAGCCAACTATCGGTCATCCCCTAGTAGGCCAGTGGATAAACAAAAAATACATCCTGCACATAAGGTCTCAGACTAGATCCCTTCCAAGAGGACACTTTCATCCTTCTAGCCCATCTCACAAGCATCTTACCATGCTTTCATGAATCATTTGGCTGATCACCATTATCTGTACCTTGTTATTAATCTCCCTTCCCCTCCATTTCATGGCAGCATTTCATGGCAGGTGGGTAAAGAAGCAGTCCCTACAGGGTTTCAGTCAACTAATGTTAATCCATTGAAATTAGTGGTCACAGCTAACTTAGATCTATTAATTTCAGTATGTCTACTTTGACTAAAAGTTGAATACAACACCAGGGCTCTTGGAACAGCAGTTTTGTTGTTGACAGGGAAGGCAGGCCTACAACTAGAAGAGAATTGGAGTCCCAACAAAATAAGCTGCTTTTACTGCCGTGCTCCTTATTCACAGATCATGGTCCTTATTCTCCACATGTAGGGGAAACTGGGACCGTGCTTTCTATCTCCATTCCTGACATTTGCACATTTGGTATGAATGTCTGAAAACAGGGATGCTGCATATGGATGTGTGGGCGGATGTGATCCTGAACCCAAGGCACAAACAGCAGTGCAGATGAAGGCTATCATTTTTCAGATTCTTGTAAACTCAAAGATAGGATTGCATGGTTAGAAAATACAGGAATAAAAAAAAAAAAACCTGCTTCCCTGTTGCGAAATTAATTTTGAAAGATTAGAAACTAATGTTATGCAAATAAGTACAACCTCTGGAGTCACTTAAAGCAAATGTTTGTAAACAAATTACCAATGCTGGAGAAATAATTATATATGTACATAAAACAACAACAATCATAATCCCTTCCCCATCCCTCCGCTGGATAACAATATTGAAGGAAGGATTAAATAGTTTTTTTTTTTATTCTCTCTCTTGGTATATATGTATGGTATATGTATATATACATTCACATGTGCATACATGACTATTCCTGCCTAGGCAGAATGATGCACTTTCTTACATTCCTTTGTCAAAGATAAGTCACAGCCACATTGGAAGAAAACAGCTGGGTAGGGATGGTACCCAGTCTAGGGAAGTTTTCTGAAAAATTGCACTGTCGGTTGCTCTTGGATTTGTATGCAGTCCACAATTAATCTGCATGCCTTACTTCTTATTTTCCAGAGAGAAGGTATCATAGACCTCGTGCCAAACCCAATGGGCTGAGCTTCTCTTCTCACGCTGTGGCAGACCGACAAGTCAGCGAGACTGCCTTGACGCCTCTGACTGAGCAGGAGGGCGAGGCATATCTGGAGAAGTGTGGGAACATCCGCCGCCACACTGTTGCCAACGCTCACTCTGATATCCAGCTGTTGGCCATGGCTTCCATTATGCACTCTGGGATGGTGGTGGAGGAACCAGACAGTGGCGACACATGCCTCCTCCTGCAGCCCAGCTTAAACCACAGGCAATGTTCCAGTGAGCCCACGATAGTAGATGGACCGGAAGGGCTGGGGACAGCATCCATGCAGGAACCCACAGAACTGAACTGCACATCTGTCTGCTGAAATGCTGTGTGGAGGGACGAAGGACCAAGTGTGTTAGGCAAACCATTGTTTTGTCATTTGCTGAGAACAGTGGAGTCAAACTCCAGAAATGAGATCAACATGCCATGTCCTAACTTAATATTGGAAGACTTTTTGGAAATAATAGTTTCCAGGCCAGGTTCTAATTTTATGTGGCTTATATATATTGTTTTCAAGGTACAAAGCTGCTACGTTCAAGCATTCCAACATCCCTTCCCTTTCCTTTTCTCTGGATTTTTCAGACCTTTTCTCCTCCTGAGTTGGTCTTTCACTCTTTTGTCGCATCTTATGTGTGGTGTCCTATGAAATCAGGGGAGAATGATCAATACTATTAGGCACACACTTTCCCCTAGCGACACTTTATGGCACATGCAGGAGGCCAGCTATGAAGCATGCTGGTTCAAGTCTGAACCATCAGGATGGGTGAAACTGCACCCAATTTCCAGAGTTAGAACTCTATAATATACTGAACGAACATTGCCTCATTCTGCAGCAAAAGCTGGTGACCAGGTTGCACAAGCCATTTCTGAATGTTGGGGATTTTGAGGTTTTCTTTTCAGCATTGCTCTTCTCAGGGATCCCTTAAGTATATTCCAAAGAAAAATCTAAGCTCAACTTCCACAGTCTAGTTACTTCCAGTTGTTGGACTCCAATTCCCATCAGCCCCAGCCAGCATAGTCAATGGTCAGGTGATGGGAGTTGGAGTCCAGTGACATCTGGAAGCAACTAGGCTGGGAAAGACTCTCTAAATTTTTAGATTCCAGGAGAGACAATTGGAGAAGAGGCTGTTTTTAAGGATCTCATGCTAAGGAACTTGTGGGTGGTATTTAACTAAGTTTTACTCAGAGGAGACCCGCTGAAATTAATGAACCAAATTTAGTCATGTTGGTTACCTTAAGTGGGACCACTATGGAGTGGCAATGGTGCTATGCATGTATTAACATGTAGAACTAAGAACTGTCCACCCTACCCATTGTTTCCATGAACACCAAGATTGAAAGAAACCCAGCTTTCTTACTAATCAATGGGATTCCATTACATATGGGAAACTTTAGGCTGATGGGGATCTAACCTCATTTGGGGGCAACACTCCTCCTCTTGTAAAACAGGGTCATTTGTTGACTGGTATGGAGAATGTGTAATGCCTTTTATACTTACATTCATACCTTTGACACAAAGCTCAGCACCAGGACAGACTTGCGTTCTGGAGGCTGTGTAGTGGTGTCTTTCTGGAGTCCAGGGTTCCAGTTTCTAGAAACCTGATGCTTCTGTCACAACACAGTTCTGTTACCAAATACCTTTGGCAATCCAGGTTATCATGGGGGTGGGTAGGGGTGATGTTCCTCAGGTGCAGGGCTGTTCTCCTTTTCCCAATGAGGGTGATTCCAAGAACCTGTTAGCAACTGAAATAGCCAGATTTTTACTTTTTTAAAAATAATAATAATCAAGCATCATAATAGTGTGTGAAAGTTGTTCTGCAACAGCTACCTCTTTATGGAAGTAGACTGCAACCCAATGAATTGAATTCAGTCTTGATAAAATTAAGGAGCAGGGTCAGGGATGGTCACATTAGACCAATAGGTGCACAGAGAAGAGACAATGCCTCTTTGATGATTAGGCTTCAGAGGCCCACAATGATGAACAAACTTTTAAGCTGTAAAAGGGCCAGCTTAATAAAATGAATGGGGTTGTGGGTGTCCAGGCCCTAATAAGGGCTCCCAATGAGATATAAACAAAGGCTAGGTAAATCCTAGTCTTAAAGCCTGATTCTCAACCGCCAGTGTATAGGCTTACAGCCTTCACTCAATAAAATGTTCCAAGTAACTAATTTGGAATGAAGGATAACATTTCCCCTTTATTCTTCCACTACGTGTCCATTTCTGGTTTTGATTTGAATGTATATGTTAAAAGGCATGTATAATTTCCCAAGTATGCTTGCCCCTGTGGAATTTTGCCAAGCCACGGTGGTGGTTACCACTCAAGTCCATGGCAAGGATTAACTTGGTAAGAGAGCTTTACTCTGAATATCTCATGGAAGCTCACAAAGAAGGAAAAAGTTAATGTTTGGAAATGTGGTAGGAACTGAGTCCTCAAATAGAAATCCTTTTATTTAAATGGGACCTTTGTTGCCTGCCTTCATTTTACATATTCACAAGAAACAGCTTTGATGAAGCCTACTGCAGAGATGTCTGTGTTTTCTCATGCCTATCCACTGCATTGTCTTCTGCTTGCCTTAATTTGCTGAAATCCCCGTTATATTACATCCACTTGGCCTTCTCCTCCCCATGTGTGCGCACAAGTGTACATTCTTTCTCTGTTGCTCATAGGTATAGTTCCCACAGACATTCATTTCTTTCTTATTCCATCCAACCACCAATTCTCCCAATCAAGGGTGTGTGCTTGTGGGTCCATTAAACCTCAAAGTACAGTAAACATGGCAGTGAAGGAAGTCAGCTGAAAGGCTGACTAAGCAATAGTCTAGCAGAGCCAAACTTCATGCACCATCTTCTCAGCAAGTTTTGTGTTACCAAGAGTAGGCCTACTGTATAATTACAAACATATTAGTGGATCTGTTGTGGGACCGCACATAGCCACAGTTTTTCCTCTGCTAAAATCTTGCATCTACCTTCTTCCAGAACGAAAATCTTTGCTGCCTTCTAGGAAAATGTGGCACAGATCAGTAGTAGAGCACATGTTTTGCATGCTGAAAGCACTGAGCTTCAATCCCTAGCATCTCTAGTTAAAAGATCAGGTAGGTAGTTGACGATGGGAAAGACTCCCTCTGGAGAGCTGCAACCAGTAGACAATATTGGGCTGACCAGACAAACAGACTGGCCTGCTATAAAGCATCACATCAGCGAGGCCAAGAGGGGCGTCTTGTCATCTGGGCAGCCTAGGACCTCCATATACACTGCCCAGGCTTGAACCCCGGGGAGGTCACTTTGGTGCTGCTAACACAGCAGTTTGACTTCACCCCTAGAGACATGCTGCATTGTCTCTTGAGACGGATGCCCAGCAACAACACAGCAAGCAGAAGGTGCATTGGAATCACACCTGGAATACTGTCAAACATATTTGCAACTGTCCTTTTAGACCCATGTGGCGATAACCCGGACACCCAGTTTCCTGTCCACTTGTGGCAGCTCCTCTGGCTTCAGCTAAATCCATGGCCAGTGCTTTCTCAAGACACTGCCATGGTGCTCCAAGAGATTTCTTTAAAAGGGGCCTCCCACTGCATGCCGTTCTTTTTAGTGAAAATTCCCCTCTCCCCCTCCTAAGCAGTATGAATTATTTTATTGAAAACAAATGCCGCCTCCCAAAATTGAATGAGGCCAGTTTCTATATTAATTTTTAATCTGGGCACAGCTCATAAATCCCTCCCTAATAATGCTCTGTCATTGCTAGCAGCAGGTGCCTCGCAGCAGGGGGAAGCATGTGGAGTCATCATTTGAAAAGGAGCTGCTGCCTCCCTCCTTTGGGTTTTTATTCACCCTGGTCTGAATAAAGAAAGAGAAATCAGATTTGGACACCCCTAATAAATGAATCGCCTTGATCTTACAGACAGAGGGCTTGTGAAAATTTTATGGAGTTTTCTTTGGGGACAAAAATAGAAAAAGAAAAGAATCACATTGTTTTATACTCGTTGCTTGCATCCAAATTCTAAATTTATATAAGGTGCTGTTAGTCGGTGTTTTTGTAACACAGAGACATCTGGTACATTGTTATAGAAGATTTCATTAGCTTGCTCATCTCAGTTCAGCATTAAAATATCTTACGCCTGTTCATGCCAGACCCTCTCAGTGTCCCTATTTTCTAGGGACAGTTCTGGATTTACAGAAGCTGTCCCAGTTTCTGATTTGATCCTAGAATGTCTCACTTTTCCTTAGGATGTCCCTATTTTCATTGGAGAAATGTTGGATGGTATGCCATGCCAATCACCCCCACCCTGCTTTTTTTGCACTTTGGGATGGTGGTGTTGAAATTTCCAGAACAGCAAACCACTTGCATAATTGGCTAACAATAGAGAGACACTACCCGTGGGATATCTTCACTGTGTGCTGGGCCAGAAAATCCCTAGATTTGCTTCAAGGCATCTCTAAAACTGGGCCAATGCAAGCTTCTTAGTAGATGATCACACTGTTTGATCCTCTGAACAGAGACTCAGAAGACCAAGCCCATTGCAAGGAACCAAAAGTTATATGTCAAATGAGCTGCGATCGTCCAAATAGTTGAAATTGGTCCAGGCAAACTCCTGCTGAAGCTCCTGTGCCTGTGTGGAAACTTTCTCTGTGCATCCCTTTTCAATTCCCTCCTGGTTCTGGGAGACAGTGGTGGAAGAGAGGGACACAGTCCTTCTCTTGCCCGACCTGCTTCTTTCTCCTCCTCCTCTTACCCATCCTGTGCTCCACCTTCCAACTCTGAAGTTTCCCCTGCCTCTCATTCTTGCCTCCTGGCTGGTACAGCTTCCCACAAACCACTGCTACCCTCTCCAGAGTCAGACTCCAGCCCCCTTGTTCCCCACGCACACTCTTCAGCTGCCTGGCAGTCCCCAGTATGGCTTGATCTCTGTCTTCACAACTCTTCTCAAGGGGAAAGGATAGAATTCAGCAAAGGGGTCAAGGCCCTGGGCTGGACCTAGCGCCCAGGCTGTAAGTTTCCGACCCTTGCTTTAAAGCCAGCTGGGGGAGTGGTGGTGGTAAAAGGGAACGAAATACTTGAGAACCAGAGGACTTCGCCACACTAGATTTTCTCCAGTAGCAAAGTTCAGAAGCCGCTTGGCATTATTTTTCCATCTCAAATTGAGATACATACATCGGAAGACGAGAGGGGCTTTTGCTGAAGGGGACTAAGGCTTGCTGCCAAGTCCTTGCCTCAGATGTGTCAGGAGCAGAATCTGGGTTGCATCAGGCAGCTGCTGCATTCACAACTTCTGTGGCATTTCTGTTCCCGTGCTGCTAGGTTTTAACCACTTCTTTTCATATATATATATATATGTAGATGTACAAACAAACCACCATCTGCTCTAGTTTAAGTGCCCGTTAACAAGGTGAAGAGGTGGTGTTACTGAAGGGTTTCCTGCAGCGTTCACAGAGTGTTTTAAAGATCTTGGGCTGTAATGCTTACATATCTCCTCACTAGCTAGCTTTCTATTTACTATCTACCATTAAGTTAAAACATACAGTCTTAATGCGAAAGGAAAACATTAAAATTCTAACTACTTACCACCTCTTTGCCAAGTGCTGCAGGGGGGAATTTCATGGTTTTCAGCGAGAGCACATGTTTAGTTAAACAGGGTTGTAGTTAACTTACTGAACATATATATATATATATATATAACCTTTCTTTCAAGCTGCCAGATCAGCATCACCAAAAACTCTGCTGCAAATTTGCAGGCACAGCTACTCCAGATTTAATAGAGTAACACTGCCCCCTAGTGTTACAGTAAGGACCCAACTTCATGTATATTGATAAACCCAGTTTAAACAAAGTGTCTAGTAATATGCTGACTACTACTAAAATATTGTCATGCCCAGGGCTTTTTCTCCCAGCTGGAACTCACCGGAACTCAGTTCTGGCACCTCTCAGGTGGGTGCCATTGCCATTCTAAGAGAACGACTGAGGCTTTACATGGTGAGTTCCGGCACCTCTTTTTCTAGAAAAATAGCACTAGATGCCTGCCCTTAAAACAGGTAATCACCCTTTATCAGAGCAAGTAAGAGTGAAGTCTGAGCTGAGGCACGGATGAAGACTTGCTCTACTGTCACAACAACAAGGGATCAGATGTGTTCTTCAAGCTGTTTGCCTTGGAATATTTAACATAGGTGTGCAGAACATCTGGTCCTCCAGATGTTGCTGAACTACAACTCCCATTGGATCCAACAAGCATGAGCAATGGCCAAGGGTAATGTGAGTGGTGGCTCAGAAACATCTGGAGGACCAACAGTTCTCCACAGCTGATTGAACAGAAGGTCTAATAATACGCCGTCTCCGTTGTTTCCCTAACATTTTAACTTTTAGCCCTGTTTATATGTTCATCCATGTAGAATTGAACAAATGGAAGCTGAGGGGTGAAAGTGCGCTCTCTCACTCACTCCCACACACACCCCACTTCTATGTAGTATGCATATCGGTTCAATTTTTGGAGACTGGGGCGTGGGCAGTGGTTGCAATCTTAAGCCACATTCACACCATATGTTGAAAGCAGTAGGATACCATTTTTAACAGTCATTATTCCCTCCAAAGAATTCTGGGAGATGTAGTTAAGGGTGCTGAGAGTTGCACGTCAAGACCCCGGCGCACCCCCAAGGATAAATAAATAACTGACACAGACTTTTAGTTTAAGGTTAATGGGCAAAAATTTAGGTCACAACTTTATTGATTACAGCAGTGTGAGTGGTATTGGCTTAGGCATTGGCAATAACTATATCTGACTCCTGCCCGCCTTGCAGGAAGTCTGGAAGGGTAAAACAACCAAATGAGGGAGCTCCATCAATGGCAACCAACTGTAGCTCACCCCAGGGTTCCCGCTGGCTCCTGGCATGGCCCTAGCCCCTCAAGCAGACTTCAGACAAGATCCAGACCCACGGATTCCTCTAACGGAATACCCTTGTACCTGGAGGGGCAGGTGGTGGCTGCACCTCCCCTCCCCCACATCACAATAAGCCAATGCCTAGCTGCCAAACCTTACAAACCTTGCTAAGGGGGTAGGCAAAAACCAAATGGCCAGTGCCAATTTGCCAAATGAAAAAAATTCCTACCCAGCCCTTGTTCCAAAACAGGTGACCAACCGAAGTCCAGAAAAAGGCCAAAGCAGACACCTAAAATACATGGTGGGTGGGTTGGTCTTCAGCGTTGCGAAGCCAAGTGAATCCCCGGAAATGCGTCACCGCCTTTTATATGTCCCCACGATCACACCACCGATCTCTGATTGGCCAATAGGCCATGCTGCAATCGTGGGGCAATCGCTTGGGCTGGCTCAAACCCCCCCCCCAAGGATAGGGGGGCACCTTGGGCCCGTGTGCAACGTGGACCCTCAATTAGGAGAATCCAATTTGTTAGGCAATCCCTGTTTCTCTCTCAGAGGTAAAATTCTCTACTTGTGAAGAGAGAGAGAGACAGTTAAACCACTCTGGGAAAGACCTTATTCTGCAGGCGGTAGATCCAACCCAATGAGGGCATGTCATTTGCAAACTGTTTCCCTCTGTGTGTGGGAAACTCTGTGTTTGGCATATGAGTCAGGGGAAGTACCAAATATTTTATGAACAAAGTTCCTCTTTAACATCAAATAACTTTTCTTCTTCCTCTTCTACAACTGAAGTGAAAGGAGTCAACAACATTTAAGGGCAGCTTTGGCAAGGGAAACAGTAATTTGGGGCTGTATAGCAGGCTATGTTCCTTGATCTGATCTTCTACCCACAGATTTGAGCTATTGGAATAATTCTTCTACACATGCTATCTTTTAGTGCAGTTGGATGGATGGATTGGAG